GCTAGCTTTGGCTATTCAGGGTCTTTTGTGTCTCCATACAAATTTTAAGATTTTTTTGTTCTAGTTCTGTAAAAAATGCCATTGGTAATTTGGTAGGGATTGCATTGAATCTGTAGATTGCTTTGGGTAGTATAGTCATTTTCACAGTATTGATTCTTCCAATCCAAGAACATGGTATATCTCTCCATCTGTTTGTGTCATCTTTGATTTCTTTCATCAGTGTCTTATAGTTTTCTGAGTACAGGTCTTTTACCTCCTTAGGTAGGTTTATTCCTAGGTATTTTATTCTTTTCATTGCAATGGTAAATGATATTGTTTCCATAATTTCTCTTTCTGATCTTTCATTGTTAGTGTATAGGAATGCAAGAGATTTCTGTGCATTAATTTTGTATCCTGCAACTTTACCAAATTCATTGATTAGCTCTAGTAGTTGTCTGGTGGCATCTTTAGGATTCTCCACGTATAGTATCGTGTCATCTGTAAAGAGTGACAGTTTTACTTCTTTTCCAATTTGATTCCTTTTATTTCTTTTTCTTTTCTGATTGCTGTGGCTAGGACTTCCAAAACTATGTTGAGTAAAAGTGGTGAGAGTGGACATCCTTGTTTTGTTCCTGATCTTAGAGGAAATGCTTTCAGTTTTTCACCATTGAGAATGATGTTTGCTGTGGGTTTGTCATAGATGGCCTTTATTATGTTGAGGTAGGTTCCCTCTGTGCCCACTTTCTGGAGAGTTTGTATCATAAATGGGTGTTGAATTTTGTCAAAAGCTTTTTCTGCGTCTATTGAGATGATCATACGGTTTTTTTCTTCAATTTGTTAATATGGTGTATCGCATTGATTTGCATATATTGAAGAATCCGTGCATCCCTGGGATAAATCCCACTTGATCATGGTGTATGATCCTTTTAATGTGTTGTTGGATTCTGTTTGTTAGTATTTTGTTGAGGATTTTTGCATCTATGTTCATCAGTCTGTAATTTTCTTTTTTTGTAGTATCTTTGTCTGGTTTGGGTATCAGGGTGATGGTGGCCTTGTAGAATGAGTTTGGGAGTTCTCCCTCTGCTATATTTTGGAAGAGTTTGAGAAGGATCGATGTTAGATCTCCTCTAAATGTTTGATAGAATTCACCTGTGAAGCCATCTGGTCCTGGACTTTTGTTTGTTGGAAGATTTTTAATCACAGCTTCAATTTCATTACTTGTGATTGGTCTGTTTATATTTTCTCTTTCTTCCTGGTTCAGTCTCGGAAGGTTATGCTTTTCTAAGAATTTGTCCATTTCTTCCAGGTTGGCCATTTTATTGGCATAGAGTTGCTTATAGTAGTCTCTTATGATGCTTTGTATTTCTGTGGTGTCCATTGTAACTTCTTTTTCATTTCTAATTTTATTGATTTGAGTCCTCTCCCTCTTTTTCTTGATGAGTCTGGCTAAAGGTTTATCAATCCTGTGTATCTTCTCAGAGAACTAGCTTTTAGTTTTATTGATCTTTGCTATTGTTTTCTTTGTTTCCATTGCATTTATTTCTGCTCTGATCTTTATGGTTTCTTTCCTTCTACTAACTTTGGGGTTTGTTTGTTCTTCTTTCTCTAGTTCCTTTAGGTGTAAGCTTAGATTGCTTATTTGAGATTTTTTTTGTTTCTTGAGGTAGGATTGTGTTGCTCTAAACTTCCCTCTTACACCTGCTTTTGCTGCATCCCATAGCTTTTGGGTCATTGTGTTTTCATTGTCATTTGTCTCTAGGTATGATTTGATTTCCTCTATGATTTCTTCAGTGATCTCTTGGTTATTTATTAATGTATTGTTTAGCCTCCATGTGTTTGTGTTTTTCACGCTTTTTTCCCTGTAATTGATTTCTAATCTCATAGTGTTGTGGTTGAAAAAGATGCTTGCTATGATTTCAGTGTTCTTAACTTACCGAGGTTTGATTTGTGACCCAAGGTCTGATCTACCCTGGAGAATGTTCCATATGCACTTGAAAGTGTAATCTGCTGTTTTTGGATGGAATGTCCTGTAAATATCAATTAAATCTGTCTGGTCTGTTGTGTCATTTAAAGTTTGTGCTTCCTTATTAGTTTTCTGTCTGGATTATTGGTCCATTGGTGTAAGTGAGGTGTTAAAGTCCCCCTCTATTGTTGTGTTACCGTTGATTTCCTCTTTTATAGCTGTTAGCACTTGCCTTATGTATTGAGGTGCTCCTGTGTTACTGCATAAATATTTATAATTGTTATATCTTCTTCTTGGATTGATCCCTTGATCATTATGTAGTGTCCTTCCTTGTCTCTTGTAACATTCTTTATTTTAAAGTCTATTTTATCTGATATGAGTTTTGCTACTCCAGCTTTCTTTTCATTTCCATTTGCATGGAATATCTTTTTCCATCCCCTCACTTTCAGTCTGCATGTGTCCCTAGGTCTGAAGTGGGTCTCTTGTAGACAGCTATATAGGGGTCTTGTTTTTGTATCCATTCAGCAAGCCTGTGTCTTTTGGTTGGAGCATTTAATCCATTCATGTTTAAGGTAATTATCAATATGTATGTTCCTATTACCATTTTCTGAATTGTTTGGGGTTTGGTTTTATATGTCCTTTTTTTCTCTTATGTTTCCCACCTAGAGAAGTTCCTTTAGCATTTGTTGTAGAGCTGGTTTGGTGGTGCTGAATTCGCTTAGCTTTTGCTTGTCTGTAAAGCTTTTGATTTCTCCACTGAATCTGAATGAAATCCTTGCCAGGGAAGTAATCTTAGTTGTACTTTAGATATATCATGCCACTCCCTTCTGGCTTGTAGAGTTTCTGCTGAGAAATCAGCTGTTAATCTTATGGGAGTTCTCTTGTATTTTTCATTTTTCCATTGTTGCTTTTAATAATTTTTCTTTGTCTTTAATTTTTGCCAGTTTGATTATTATGTGTCTTGGCGTGTTTCTCCTTGGGTTTATCCTGTGTGGGACTCTCTGCACTTCCTGGACTTGGGTGGCTATTTTCTTTCCCATGTTAAGGAAAATTTTAGACTCTAATCTCTTCAGATATTTTCTCGGGTCCTTTCTCTCTCTCTTCTTCTTCTTCTTGGGACCCCTGTAATGTGAATGTTCATGTGTTTAATGTTGTCCCAGAGGTCTCTCAGTCTGTCTTCATTTCTGTTCATTCTGTTTTCTTTATTCTGTTCCACAGCAGTGAATCCCACCATTCATTTCTTCCAGGTCACTTATCTGTTCTTCTGCCTCAGTTACTCTGCTATTGATTCCTTCTAGTGTACTTTTCATTTCAGTTATTGTGTTGTTCATCTCTGTTTGTTTGTTCTTAAATCTTCTGGGTGTTTGTTCTTTAATTGTTCTAGGTCGTTAATTGTTCTAGAAGATACATTTCTTGTATCTTCTCAATCTTTGACTCCTCCGTTCTTTTTCTGAGGTCCTGGATCATCTTTGCTATCATTATTCTGAATTATTTTTCTGGAAGGTTGCCTGTCTCCACTTCATTTAGTTGTTTTTATGGGGTTTTATCTTGTTTCCTCATCTGGTACATAGTACTCTGCCTTTTCATTTTGTCTACCTTTGTGTGAATATGGTTTTTGTTCCACAGGCTGCAGGACTGTAGTTCTTGTTTCTGCTGTCTGCCCTCTGGTGGATGAGGCTATCTGAGAGTCTTGTGTAAGCTTCCTGTTGGGAGGGACTAGTGGTAGGTAGAGCTGGGTGTTGCTCTGATGGGCAGAACTCAGTAAAACTTTAATCCACTTGTCTGCTGATGTGCGGGGCTGAGTTCCCTCCCTGTTGGTTGTTTGGCCTGAGGTGACCCAACATTGGAACCTACCCCGCTCTTTGGTGGGGCTAATGGTGACTCTGGGAGTGCTCATGCCAAGGATTACTTCCCAGAACTTCTCCTGCCAGTGTCCTTGTCCCCAGGGTGAGCCACAGCCACCCCCCCGCCTCTTCAGGAGACCCTCCCACACTAGCAGGTAGGTCTGGTTCAGTCTCCTGTGGGGTCACTGCTCCTTCCCCCTAGGTCGTGATGTGCACACTACTTTGTGTGTGCCCTCCAAGAGTGGAGTCTCTGTTTCCCCCAGTCCTGTTGAAGTCCTGCAGTCAAATCCTGCTAGCCTTCAAAGGCTGATTCTCTGGGAATTCTTCCTCCCGTTGCCAGACCCCTAGGTTGGGAAGCCTGACGTGGGGCTCAGAACCTTCACTCCAGAGGGTGGACTTCTGTGGTATAATTGTTCTCCATTTTGTGTTCTCCCAGTGGTTATGGGATTTGATTTTATTGTGATTGTTCCCCTCCTGCCGTCACATTGCGGCTCCACCTTTGTCTTTGGATGTGGGGTATCTTTTTTGGTGAGTTCCAGTGTTTTCCTGTTGATAAGATTGTTCAGCAGTTAGTTGTGATTCTGGTGCTCTTGCAAGAGGGAGGGCACGTCCTTCTATTCCACCATCTTGATCCCTTCCATGAAATTCATTTTGTTTACATCTGTATTTTGTACAAGTCTTTATTTATACCTTTCCTGAGCTGTTTTATTATGGTATATTTCTTGTAAGCAATATATAACTAGATTTTTTTTAAGTACATTTTAAAAACCTCAAAAGCAAAGCAAAATAAAACATAATTCTTTGCTGACCTCCCCAACTAGGCAGGATGAGTCTATTCAGCACCCGACATATTGTTAAATAAGAACAAGTTGTAGAGCAGTATATATAGTACAATTCTATTTTTAAAACAAGACTGTGTTTACATACATAATTACTCTTTTCAAGAATTCAAGCTTTAGATATCTATTCTGATTGAGATTAAGTTGATATCAATCAATAGTGATATTTAAGTGGGAAAAAAAGTGACTGAGTAAAAATTGAAAGTAAACAAAAATAAAAGGTCTCTTCATCCATAGCCTCCACTGCTTCTACCTAATATCACATTTATAGACATAATAGAAAGCTTATCATTAGCGAAGAACTATTTGACTCTATGGAAATGTTCATTGAGTGTATATTCTATTTAATTAATTCATAGACTCATTTCCTTTCAGGTTCGATCTGGGGCAAACGTTCTAATTTGTGGTCCAAATGGCTGTGGAAAGAGTTCACTTTTCCGTGTTCTTGGTGAAGTAAGTAAAAATTGGCCTCAAGGTTTTGTAGTCTTATTTTGCTATATAATCTACCACATTGTGAAATTTACAGCTCTTCTTCCCCCTCCTCCTTTGCTTTTATAGTTATGGCCTCTTTTTGGAGGACGTCTAACTAAACCTGAGAGAGGAAAGTTATTTTACGTTCCCCAGGTAAGACCTTGTTTGAGTTATTTTATAATCTTTGATTTCAAGATCTTTTAACTTATTTTTTAAAAAATCACTTCTAATGATTTTTGCTCTGTTACTATCAGAGACCTTATATGACCCTTGGAACACTTCGAGACCAAGTGATATATCCAGATGGAAGAGAAGATCAGAGAAAGAAGGGGATTTCTGACCTCGTAAGGAAATGTTTATTTCCTAGACTTACTGAAAACACCACTTCAGAGTCTTTATCTTAATCAGTTAAGTATTTTAGATTTCAAGTAGTTTATCCTAACCTTTTGTAAAGGCTTCTACAGCCTAATCATTAATTATAACTTTCCAGGTTGAGGTAAGATGTTAACCATTTTGCTTAAATATGACTTGTTGAATGTTTAACCTTGTCTTTACACTATTGTTTGTTTTCTCATTGCCCTTGTCCTTTAATTATGTACAATAGTATTATTTTCTTTATGCCTCTGGATATATTTTGTCAAAATTAGTATAAATAGGAAGAGTTTGTTTACCTTTGTGCCACATTCTTTTGTGAAATGTGCCTTTTTTAGTGATATTGACAATAGTATTATAGTCCTTCTAGTTTAAAAAATAAAGCAAGGTAGAGAATATTCGTTTATATGAAGCATGATTTCATCTTTAATCATTTTGCTGAAAGGTACTGAAGGAATACTTAGACAATGTCCAGCTGGGTCATATCCTTGAACGTGAAGGAGGCTGGGACAGTGTTCAGGATTGGATGGATGTACTCAGTGGTGGAGAAAAGCAAAGAATGGCAGTAAGTGTGCTCTGAAAACACTGCACAACAATGCAGCTGGTTGCATAAAGTCACTCTTAGAATCCAGCATTTTGATAATCAAGGCATACAGTTTTGTTTTAATCTTTTTATTTAGCAATTATTATAGTGTGGTTTAGTTTATATGATAAAAGAAGTATAGCTTGCATGTAAATTTGGAATTCTGAAAAATGCAAAAATATTCCTATGAAAGGAAAAGATGCAGATCCAATTATATACCGTTAATCCGTTTTTCCAAAAGTTTGGGGAACTTTGTAGCACATAGGTCCTGGTTGGGTTATGAGATCCCTTTCAGTATTTTTTCCCTATAGACACCTCTCTGTCTTAGCCTATTCTCTCTAAAGTAGCTGAAGGTATTAGAGATGTTAATTTTATTATCATTTTATTCTTTATTCTGTTCTTATCCTTTCCCTCTATCATTATATTTATCCTTGTTTCAGGGCTCAGTATCTACTACCTAAAGTTATTTAGAATTTTAAAATTTTCCTAATATAAAGAAACATTTCAAAGCAATTATCTTATGATCAACTAAAGTTATCTCAATCAAACATGACTACAAAATGTGACATATTAAGAGTGATTCTTTGAGTACTCTGTAAAGGGGGATAACTTTTATTTTTTTATTTTATTTTTTGTAATTAATTAATTAATTTTTGGCTGCGTTGGGTCTTCATTGGTGCACGTGGGCTTTCTCTAGTTGCGGCGAGCAGGGGCTGCTCTTTGTTGTGGTGCGCAGGCTTCTCGTTGAATTGGCTTCTCTCATTGTGGAGCACGGGCTCTAGGCGTGTGGGCTTCAGTAGTTGTGGTGCACGGGCTTAGTTGCTCCACGGCATGTGGGAATCTTCCCAGACCAGGGATTGAACCCATGTCCCCTGCATTGGCAGGCGGATTCTTAACCACTGCGCCACCAGGGAAGTCGCAAGGGGGATAACTTTTAGGGAGTCATTTTCTAACTAGACATACCATAACTTGAGCAGATCCAGAGGAATTTTTTGGTGAGGGAGTGTTATAACCTTGTGGAAATTAGAGAAAACTGTAGCCAAGGAAAGATAGCAGAAGAATGGACTTATTTCAGAATTGCTTACTGTTTATCTTCAGGTTATATTCTACCTTTTGGTTACCTCCTATTCCATAATTGTTTTGCATGTTGTTTTTCTCCAGGTCATACCCATTCTATATGAACTTAATATCAACTTAATATTGTGATTTGTCTGGCTAGTGAGATTAATCTAGAGTGATGAATGAATCATAAACAAAAGAGGAGATATCAGCCATACTCAAAGTGGAAATTGGGCTGAAGGCATGAGAATTTAAAGTGATTGAGCATTTCTGGAATCAGTTTAGAAGATGCCTATAGAAATAACTGCAATTCAAGAAAACTAATTTACATTCCTATACCGTGACTTCAAAGAAAATGGAAGGATAAGGCAAGATTCACAAGTGGACACAATGGAGACTCAGAAAGAAAAATAAATCTGCTTAAACTAAGGAATTCTATATGTTTGGTATAAATGTTACACAGAGGGTAGTTTTTATTAGAAGATACGAAATTTAAGGGTATGCCTAGAGGAGTGAGAGGTCATTTTGGAAGAATAGGGAGTGGGGGAAGGAACCCTGTAAAGCTAGATGAACCATGATAGAGCTGGGAAATGGGGAGAGCTCACCTGTAACATGGTTGTGTGGCCAAGCCCTTGACAGGGTGTGTTCTGTATAGGTCAATATTTGGAGAATTGAATGTGAAGTTTAAAAGAGAGCATATTGTTTTGCTACTTTAGAAGGGTTTGGAGGGAGATAGAAAAGGCTAATGCAATAAATATTAACATGGCTGAAGTTGGGTGGAGAATGTATGTGTATTCATTTTATTCTTTCATTTTTTTGGTAGGATTAAGATTTTCAAAGTAAAAAGTTGATGGGAAGAGAAGACATAATTTTTATAAATTATAAAAATCTATAATTTATAAATTATAAAAATTATAGTTTTTAGGAAGAACAGACTTGAGAGGTTTAACCAAAACAGTGAATCTATGAGTGAAGGTTGGTATAAAACAGATGAACCAAAGGAACTCTTAGGTAAGGAGAATCAGGATTTGAATTTGAGGGAATGGAATAAAACCACTGAATAAAGGGAGATCTGGTGAACACATTTCTAAAAGTCCCTTGAAAAATATCAACATAAATATAGGGGGAAATATTATTCCATTATTTTAACAGCAAAAAAATTAATTATGGTATGCTTGCCACAGAGTTTAGGATTAGCTAAGAATCTCTTCTGTGCAAGGCACTTAGCTAGGTGCCTGCCTTTATAATCTAGTAAGGAGAGCCAGATATGCTCCTTTAATTGTGATACCAGGCAGGCAGTCTTCAGTGATAGTTACAAAGAAAATGCACTAGAATATTGATGAGGGAAAGATTGGTTTGGGATGGCAGGTCCCATTTAATTCTCTCAAGAGCCCCTGTGAAGTAAGGTAGAGATGAGGGAAAGACTTGGAGAACTTGCAGCTTACTGATACCAGATAGCTGCTGCATGGCAGAACTGAGATCCACGTGCAGGTGAGTCTGACCCCAGAACTCTTGCTCTTAACCAATACATTACAGTATACGGCCTTCAATATGCAGGTGAACTGTCTGACCAGTTCTCTTCTCTCACTGTGCCTTGAAGTCTCAAGTGACATGTCTTTTTCCCCCATTGTACCCATTTGTGTCCAGCCATCAGCTAGTCCAACCCTGGTCCAAACATCAGCCAGGGTTGCTCCACCTAATATCATAAATTGGGCTGTCTTATTTCTCTGACCCATAGTTTTCTTTTCTTCTCTTCTGTTCTTGTTCTTCCTCTTTAGTGATGGTTTCTTTATATTGAATTATGAAAAAGTATATATGATAGAAAAGTTGGAATGTTTATAAAAGTGTAAAGAAAGGCCCAAACCACCTTACCAGACATACCACTGTCATAAGATTTTGTGTTTTTTTAAATTCATTTTTGTAATTAATTCTTTTTCCTTTACCTAATTGGCAGCTGTCCCCATTCTTCAGACTCACTGAGGTCTCTCTAATATTTACCCATTCCTTCTCTATAATTGATCAGTTCCCTTCTGACTACCTTCTTTCCTGTCCAGCACAGACTTAACAATCCAGGGCCTAGAACATAGGAGGTACACAGGAGATATTTCTTAAAGGAATGAACAAATGATCCCTTCCCCTTAACTTCCTTTCCCACTTTCTGTTTTCTCATATTATTTAAACACCAATCCAAGAGCAGTTGTTTGCCTTGGCATCTCTGTACATTGGCTTCTGAGCACCGCTGGAAAAAAATCAGAGAATAAGATGGATTGGTGGCACTGCACTTCCATGGTTTCCAGTCTTACAGAGATTCACAGCATAGCTTGGCAATCCTATTACTGATTTTTGTCCCTCTGTCTCATTTTTCATGATAATCATTTGAAAACTACCAGTCTCAGGCTTTCTACCCCATTACCTACTCCACCACTCTCAGCAGAATAATTCCTCCTACTTCTTTTTTTTTTTTTTTTTTTTTGGCGGTTCACGGGCCTCTCCCTTTTTCGGCCTCTCCCGTTGCGGAGCACAGGCTCCGGACGCGCAGGCTTAGCGACCATGGCTCACGGGCCTAGCCGCTCCGCGGCATGTGGGATCTTCCCGGACCGGGGCACGAACCCGTCTCCCCTGTGTCGATCGGCAGGCGGGCTCTCAACCACTGCGCCACCAGGGAAGCCCCCTCCTACTTCTTAAAGAAAAAAGAGATGCTGTTATTTCAGTTACATGACTGCTAATTTTTATTGAGTGCTAAATAGGCGATAGGCAGTATGCCAAGCACTTTACACAGGTTATCTCATTTCATTCTCGCCATAGTCCTGTGAGATGAGAGCTGTGAGTGTCCCATTTCACAGAGGAAATAGAATGTAGAACAGTTAAGTGGCTTGCCAGGCAAAGATATCTAGGAAATGTTAAAGCTGGTGGGGGGTGGGAGCGGCCTGTCATGCTCAGTCAGCAGTATGACTGCAGAGTTCATATACTCCAAAATCTCCTTGTATTGAGAAACCGAGTAGCTGACTGCATAGTGGGAGAGATAAAGACACATGATGAGAAAATTTCCATATAATGTGCTAAGTGTGGTGACGAAGCTATGCAAAGCATTGCATGGGAACACAGAGGAGGGGCATTTGTGGAATGCCTTCAAATAATCACTCCTCTTAATAACTTTGCACTGGGCTGTCCTGACCTCCCTGCTCCCACTGTTAGTGGAGGATATGTCATCCTTCCTCTTGAGAAAGGCTAAATGTCTCCATCTATGTTTTTGGACCCTCCCTCCTCCAACTTTATCACATCCCTCTCCTTCAGTTATGCACCCCCTCCGACACCCCCCCCATATTTAATCTCTTCTAGTCCTCTTATAGAAAGATATTTTCAGGTCTCTGTGATCTAAAAAGCAAACTCTGCCTTAACCAAAGGTCCCATGTAGCCTATACCTTTCATTCTCTGCACAGCTGAACTTCTTGATGGTCTGTCCTTGCTGCTTCCCCTTCCTCACACCTCTCATAAATAAGATATAAACCCCAAGAAAGCTGTTTTTATGTTTTAGTCATTCATTTATCAAATATTTGAATGTTTCCTATACTATACAGGTGTTGGGTGTACAGTAGTGATTAAAACGGAGTCTCGGCTCTTGTGAATATTATAGCCTAAGGGGTAGACAAAGAAACAGACAACATACAATTTACAGTATGTGAAGAGCTGCAGAGATGTTACAGAAGGGACCTACTTGGATTGGGGAAAGGGATCAGGGTAGGTTTGTCTGAGAAGGTGACATTAAGCAGAAATTTGAAAGATGCAAGGAGCAGAGTAAGGCGTTTGAGACACAAGGAAAGTGACATGTGCTAAGCCTGTAAGACCTGTGACACATTGTGTCCTGGTAGTTGAGAGGAGAGAGGGTGGCTGGAATGTTGAAGTTAGAGAGTGAGTAGTAATAAGGTTGTGCGGGGCCTTGTAGACCATGGTAAAGAGTTTGAATTTTATTCTAAGTGAAATGGGAAGTTATTGAAGGGTTTTAAGCAGAAGAATGAAATTCTCTGTTACGTTTCTGGAAGATCCTCTATGGTTACATGGAGAATGGGTTAAAGAGGTGCAAAAGAGGAAGCAGGAGGCTCTTTGTGGTCGTCCAGGCAGGAGAGGATTATGCTCTGGGCTAAGGACATGATTGTGAGCTGGGGGAAAGTGAGTAGGGTCCACAGGACTGACTTGAATGGACTAAAAATGGGGGGGGGGAGGGGAAGGGAGGAGGAGAAGGGAAAGATCAAGGAGGACTCACAGCTTTCTAGCTTGAGCAGCTGTTTGATAGCTTCATTTCTGAAATGGATGAATGGATTTAAGGGAAAAATCTAGAAAATCGTTGAGTTTTAGATTTTTAAAGTCTGCGAGTCCTGTAAGATATCCAAATAGAAAGATCAAATAGGAATTTTTATGTATTAGTTTGGAAATCAGAAGAGAAGTATGGGTGAGGGAGATATATCTAGAGTTTACAAATGTAAATAATATTTGAAATCATGAGATTTGATGAGATCACTCAGAGAGGAACAACATAGGAAAAAGCGGAGAGGACCTAGGAATTAACCCTCAGGGACCCCAACATTTAATGGTCAAGTGAAAGAGAAAATGCTGGAAAAGAAACTGAGAAAACAGCATAAGAAATGGAAAGAAACTTAAAACCATGATTTCACTTTCTCAAGAAGGAGGGACTGGTCACCTGCGTTGAATGTTGCAGAGAAGATAAATTGGGCAAGGATAGAAAGTGTCCGTTGGTCATGCAACATGGAGATCACAGTTAGGAGCAGATGCCAATTTGGAATATCTGTTAGACAAAGGATCAAAATAAATAATTCCCAGAAAATAAGATACATATGGAAAATAAACAGCAAAATGTTCAGCATTACTGCTAATCAAAGAGATGTAAGCTATAATAACCTTGATGTTAATTTTCACTTATAAAATTAGCACAGCCTTTTAAAAATGAGCATGCCCAGTACTGACCACAGGGATATATACAACAGGTGCACTCAAACATTGTTGGTGGGAATATTAATTGGCAACATAATATTGACATTACTTTAGCAACAAAATGTTTAAAAATAGTCAGTTTTTGCATGAGTCATCTATAGTCTGAATTCTAAGATTTCATCAAAAAGTGTACCCTCTGACCTTTTTTAGAGAGCTTTCTTTAATACTAGTTTAAAACTCAACTTCATCTCCCATCAGTCTTAAAAGTTTTTGCATTATTCTTAACAATATTTCCCATGTGTTACATTTTTCCCTCTGTTCGGGACGATAATAAAAACAATCAGGTTTCTTTATATTGTTTTTGCTTCTGAGAAGTAGATATTTGAGTTAGAATAATTTTCATCTTTGCTTTAGAAGACTGTAAATGAGTATTTAATTTAAAGTAAATCTACTTTTACATATTAATTTTAGCTCTCTAAATGATTGTACAGAATATTTCTTTTTATGCTTCAGATGGCAAGATTATTTTATCATAAGCCCCAGTTTGCCATTCTGGATGAATGCACAAGTGCAGTTAGTGTGGATGTGGAAGACTACATTTACAGTCATTGTCGAAAGGTAAGTGTGATAAATTCTCAGTCCCCCCTTTCAGTTTACTCTGTGTCCAACCAAATATCTACCCAAAGAGAAGATTCCAAGTTATAAAGGGACAAAATTACTATCATAGGATGATATCTTGCTTTAATATTTTAAACTGATAATTAATAGATATGAGTAAAAATTATCAATGAATTCTGAATATAATTCTTTTTAGCCGTGTATTAGATATAAAATAAGTGTTTACATTTATTTTCCTTTTAACTCATTCTCTATACTCAGAGTTAGTAAACTGATATTTTCTTAATTTGTTCCACCAACTTTACCTAAATATCATTTGTTTTTTTATAAAGAAAATTCAAAAAAAAATTTAATTAAAAAAATTCGATAGTAATTATTTGGCAACTTTTAATTTATCCATTTTTTTCTCTGGCCTGGCCAGTATTTTACCAAGGCTTCTTTTAGTAGCCTTTTCTGAGGCTGTCTACATTGGTTCCATTCTTTAAGTAGTTATCCAGTAATCTCAGTTTTTTTGTTTGTTTTTTTTTCCTGTGAGGAATTGTCACCATCATCTATACTTGTGTTGGATTTTGAGAACAAGAGCAGTGTATCCTAACTGTTTTAGAGTTTCAGTGTAAGCAAATGAAGTACAGGAGTCTTTTAACATTTTGTAACTGCTCTTTGGGAGTTCACAATAAATATAAAAAGTCACGATGCATATATACAGTATCAATTCCTTCTGCTCAAAGTGTGGTTGGTCATAGCTCAGCAGTGGCAGCATCGCTTCGGAGCTTGTTAGAAATGCAGTCTCAAGCCCTACTACTAAATCAGAGCCTGCATTTTAACAAAACCCCCAGATGATTCAAATGCACATTAAAGTTTGAGAAGAATTGGCATAATGAAGAAGGAATAAATTTGCTACGTTCACCTTTTAGGAAGATTTTATAGCTACTGATTTTATTTCTTTAATGGTTTTCTGTTCTTAATCAGTTTTAGTCATTTATAATTTTTTGTCCATTTGTCCATACGTATTTTCAGATTTATAGGCATTAGAGGTGTTTGTGGAATCTCTTACACATAAAACCACGTAGTCTCTACTTGATTAGTGATTTAGAGGCACTTTGCTGGTAATTTTGTCCATGCAGTTTCCTCTTATATCTAGCTGTAGGCTGCAAGTCCCCACAAAGGATGCAATTCTCCTATGTATAGATTCCACTTAAAAGAAAAAAATTCTTATGGAGCCCCCAGTTGATAAATTGTATTACTATAATGGCACTTGAATATGGATAAGCATGAAATGAAGTATGAACTTAAACTTAAAACTCATTTACAAAAGCTACAAAACCAATATAAACTTATAAATTAAGTACAGATAAAACTTTAAAACACAGTTTCAAAACTGCAGCGTTAGAGAGACCTATGATACTGTTTTGCTGAAACTAAACCACTGGTTTAGGTTTAATCTGAGGTCCAAAAATAATAGGAGGTCCAGATCTTATGTTTTGAATTTTGCTTAGGTATTTTGACTTAAGTAATTCTATTATAAGAATGCCTTCATTCAGTTGAGATCTAATCCAGTTATTTTAGAGTTGTAAGAGAAATAATATCTGAAGTGAGCTTTCAAAAATCAGATATGTGTTGCACCATCGAAATATATGTTTTATTAATAACGGACCATATACTTGTCATGCAGTTCCTAACCTGTTTGAAAACCTTTCCCATGGCAGCCAAACTTATGATACATTAAAAGTTTTAAATGATACCACTTTAAGTCACCACTTGGTGCCAACAGAAGTGTAAACACAAACTTGGGCACTTAAATCTCATGATAGAAGTGATAAGAAGAACATACTCAAAATTCTTTTTAATTATCAAAATGGATATAAAAATTGGAACTCATGGTGGAGATTTCCTGGCTACCCTAGCATGTATCTCAGCCTCGAGAGATCCATTTTGAGAAACACTGATCTAGAGCAAGGTTTCTCAATCTCAGCACTGTTGACATTGTGGGTTGGATGACTCTTAGTTGTGGGAGGCTGTCCTCTGTTTGTAGGATGTTTGGCAGCATTTCTGACCTCTACTCGTTAGACTTCTGTAGCACTCTCAGTTGCAACAATCAAAAAAGACCTTGCCAAATGTCCCCTATGGGACAAAATCCCCTGCCTCCCCTCCCTGGTTGAGAATCACTGATCCAGAGCAACTAGCTATATCTCTTAGTGTTGTTTTGAAAATTTGAAGAACAATCTGTAAATCCTAATTCACAGTCTGAAATCCAGTAAGCTTGTAAAACCAAAAGATTTTTCATTATTTTGTAGCAAGCTCACTGGGTAGCCAGATCTGGCCTGAACTGACAGAAGACTTTTAAGCTCTTATTTATCTCACTGAATGTTCATGTCCATATGTGTTGTTGCAGAAACATTGATGTGTTTGATTTCAGAATTCTGCCTCAGAACCCTCTGGGGGTGGTAAATACTACTTTTCCAAAGTCTGAATTCTAAGACATTCCAAAATAAGGGTTTCCAATAAAAGATTATGACCCTGTATTTGAAAAACAAATTTACTGTAGGCAGTACTATATTGATTTAATTTTCCTGTTTTTGACTTTTTGCTACTTTTACCACCTTTATACTCTTTTCATATATTTTTCACAATAAAATATAAAATGTGCTAGGATATATATTTCCTGCCCAAAACAAAATAATACACTTAATTAAGCTAGTACCTATTAGTTTAGGTTTTTTTTTTTCTTTAAGATTCTATTGATACTTGTTAGTTTTTATTATGTGGTCAATGGCCTGTACTTTGCATTACCTTAAACATTTGGCATCGGTTACAGTTTTTTCTCTTTGGCATTGATTTTTAACTATAGCTACTGAAGACAGTCATCTTAACAGCTTAAATTATATAGACTAGTTTAATTTGTGACTTTGTGTTATTGATATAAACCTAGATCATTTTCCTTGTATTAGGTTGGCATTACCCTCTTCACTGTGTCACATAGAAAGTCTCTTTGGAAACACCATGAGGTTTGTATTTCTTATTGAATGGTATAGTGAGAGTTTATTTTCATATATGAATTCAGGTGATTATGGTTTTAGATTTCTTGGTGTATATTCCCTTATAAATATATAACTTAAGGGGAAAAGGTGATTCTAATTCATTTTTATAAAACAGGATTTTCATAAATATTATTGTAGTTGTTAATTTTGAAAGCTACAATATATGTAAACAGTCCCTTGTTATATATGATAGATATTAGAGAACCAGTTAGTGGTTCTCCAGTTTTATAAATGACTGTTGTATAGTAACTGACTAAAATGTGCATAATCTTATCACAACTATGGCCAAACAAACTTTTTCTTACCATTCTGTATTGACAGAAGGAGAAAGTTTTAAGAAGGATCAGGTAGCAAAAAGTTTAGAGACAGTTTTAGTAGAGATCAGGACTACAAGGAGGAAACTGTATAATGTCAGCTATATTTGTCATCACACTGTAATAAACAGAATTCATTAGGTGGTCACTATAATTTACAAAGATATTACAGTGAGGTTTACATAGGTACAGGTGCTCCAGCAGTGCCATAGTGCCATTCTCAGTGTGGGAGTTCTCTTCAACTCTTAATGTAAAATAATCAAACCCTAAAAATAAACCCAGCTTAGTTCCTCTTCTCTTTTTTCTTTTCTTTTCTTTTCCCTTCCTTTCTCCCTCCCTCCCTCCCTCCCTCCCTCCCTCCCTTCCTTCCTTCCTTCCTTCCTTCCTTCCTTCCTCTCTCCCCCCCCTTCCTTCCTTCCATCCTTTCTTTCTTTCTCCCTTCCCTCTTCTCTTCTTTCCTTTTTTTTCCTTCCTAAATGATACAGAAAGGGTTGAGAGAAATTGGAACATGGTAAGGGTGTTTTGTCCCATAAAATACATACCTGATTGATTATCTTTTTAACCAGATACTGGGCTAAGTGTCATGAGGGATACAGAGTACTGTCCTTACACTCAAGAACCTTATGGTTTAGATTATAGTGTATAAATGGTTAAATGAAGAGCATGGGATTTGAAGTCAGAAAACCTGGGTTCAGGCATCACTGTTTCTGGCATTAATTGCTTCCTTCGTATAATAAAGTATTGTTCCTTGCCTAACTGTCTCATAGATTACCGTGAGGATCAAAGAGGTAGCCTGTATGAAAGTTCTTAATAAACCGTAATGAAGTTCTATATAGCTGTTGACTTTTAAAGATACTTTTATTATCTTAATGACATATTATAATTTGCCCATTTTCATGAATTGAATGAAAAACTAAATAACTAGAAATCAAAGCAGTTTAAAATATACCCAAGCCTTTGTGTTTTCTCAGAAGTTCATAAACATTACAGCCATAGGACAGTGAAAGGACTTGTGTTTCCCCTCTCCTCTTCTCCTGGAGGTGTATAGACAGTTATCAAAATAACCATCAGGCCAGTGATCATGTGAAGGAGGGGTAACACAAAGAACTGCAATGTTGAAGAGTCCAGGATAGCTTAAAAATAACAATACAGAAAATGGAAAAACAGAAGTCTTTTCTGTAAACAAAAAGCCACTAAATAAGATGGAAGGCTTTGTAACTGCTGTCCTAATAAGCATCTTCATAGGATGAAATATTTGAGCTCACTCTCTAGTTCTCATCCTCCTCTGCTAAGTCAAAGAACAGATGAACAAAAAGCCTTAAGTTAGAGGTTCTGAGCTGACCTGGGAAACCAGCTGAAATAAGTATTTTAGAGGCTGTCCTGTACGACAGGCTTGCGCTTAGTGCACTTGCACCTCTGTAGATCAGATTGTTGGTTGTGGAGTGGTAGAAGCTTTCTAATTTGTGGGATGCTTACAGATTTGGTTCCTTTAAAATAATAAGGAAAAAATAATAATAAGGAAGTCTGGTGTTTTAATTCTCTTAATGGAAAGTGCCATCTCCACTACAAGCAGTTGTATATTGTGGCTCCTTTTAAAGAGAGCGGACAGCGGACATCTTCTTTTAGTCTTTCCTTGGAAAATGGTATGCATTTCTGAGTATAAACTTTTGAAGATTTTAGTGGCTTAAAATAATTATTTTCAATCATTTTCTCGTATAATAATCTCTACATAAATTCCTGACAAAAAGGAGATTCTCAGTTATTGATTTTTTCCCCCTTCTTTCCCATAGTACTACCTGCATATGGATGGCAGAGGCAATTATGAATTCAAACAGATAACAGAAGATACAGTTGAGTTTGGCTCTTAGAATCCAGAGAACTGTGTTGAACCAGCTTCAATGAAATAATTACACAATACAATTAGAAATACAAAGTACATTGTAAAATAAAGTTGAGCTTGTTTTTTTAAACAAAACAACAAATTAACTAGATATAAAATAATCACGAATAAGTTGTTGAAACATTTAATATTATATAGGATATTGCTAATTGTGTATATGTTGGTTTAATTATTAATATGTACTAAGAATGTCCTTATTCTTGTGGTTAAAAACCTGCCTAAATTAAATTGGGCTTAAATCAGTGTAACCTGATTCATCCTGGGATGTAAACCATTTGAAGTCAGCTACTTTGACTTTTATGGCTCTATCTTTTCCTTCAATGAAGAACCCTATTTAAAACTAGGGTCATCACTTGTCCTTTTCTAACAAGATAGTCTTGAGTTTCATTTTCTTGTGCCCCATGATAGTGGGAAACAAACAAATCATAGTGTATTATCAAAATGTACATCTTGGCATAATAGCCTTTATTACCCTGTGGCAGATGTCTTTAGCTGCCACAGTTACACTCATTCCTTATGTCTTGGGGTACATTTGAATCCAGGAAAGCCATTTGGATTTTCTTTGGCTAAATAATAAATGTGCCACTCGCAATCTTCATTATTGAGTTGTTTTGAGGGTTATTTGTGGTGATGCAACAAAAGTATATGTGCAGTCTTTTTTTTTTTTTTTAACATCTTTATTGGTGTATAATTGCTTTACAATGGTGTGTTAGTTTCTGCTTTATAACCAAGTGAATCAGTTATACATATGTTCCCATATGCCTTCCCTCTTTATGTGCAGTCTTGCTTACAGGGGATGGTTACTGTGTTTCACACCTAATCTTCTCAGTGATGGGATATGAAAACACAAAGTCCTTACATGTCAAGCTCAAGGTCTTATAAGATTTTTAGAATTTTTAAAGAATTGGATGGATTTGTATATGTTAGGAGCCCATTCATTAGAAGTGTGGTGGTTACATGGCGTTAAACTCCAGATGAGCCATAGGAATGTACTACATGAAGTAAAGCACTGAGTATGCAATGTTATCACTGTCTTTGACTGTGATTTTATGTTTAAAAAATATGTTATAAAATTATGCACATGAATGAATTATGTTTCCTAAGGCACTGGTTTATCTCTGTGACTCTTTAATAACTTTTTTGTATTTGGGTCATTATGTTGAACTATATCCTAAGAGAAATCAATTTCATCTCACCAGACCACCATTAATGACTATGTGTATTATTTGCACAGGGAGAACTGAAATTGAGTATTATCAATAAGCTAGATATGAAATCAGTTTTATCAAACTGGGATTCAGAAAGGGGCTTTTTATATTCTTGTCTCTGCATAACTGGTTTGGGTGTTTTTTTTTGCAGAATTAACTATAAGAATCACTGACTACCAAAGTTAAAACTTGATGTACTGATTCCATAATACATAACATTCAATTTTTACCGCTCCTCTTTAGCAAACTTGTATACTTACTTATTTTCTGTTCAGATTAAAAAAGAATCAGATATCCTATACAACCTTTGCTTGTTCTTTTTATTCTGGTATATAAATCCTAGGTAGTTCATACAGAGTTATACAGTCTTGACTTGAAAAATACAAAAATAAACATTCAGAAAGCCCTTTTAGCATCCAGTATCTAATTTTAAAAAATTTTTGTCAAATGTGGTTTTAATGGAATGAATTTCTTCTTTAGAAAAGCCAGGAAAAAACCTTCAGTGTACTTCACAAATGCTACCAAATAGACAGGAAACCTTAAAAGATAGTATCAGTCCTGGGAAACATTTTATGGCATAGGGGAAGTTTCAGATTTTCAGATTTCTAGGTTATCCTAAGCCTACTAATAGAAGTATTTTCCTAGCTGCCTCCTTATTTCTCTGTAATGAATTCTTTTTTTTTTTTTTTTTGCTGTATGCGGGCCCCTCACTGTTGTGGCCTCTCCCGTTGCGGAGCACAGGCTCCGGATGCGCAGGCTCAGCGGCCATGGCTCACGGGCCTAGCCTCTCCGCGGCATGTGGGATCTTCCCAGACCGGGGCACGAACCCGCATCCCATGCATCGGCAGGCGGACTCTCAACCACTGTGCCACCAGGGAAACCCTGTAATGAATTCTTGCAATCAAGAAAATTTTTTTGTTTTTGTTTTCTTTATTTTTTCTTCCATTTTTAATTTAACAAATGTTAAAGTGCCTCACCATATGAGGTATAAAGAAAGATCCCTTTCCTGGAGAATCACAGTATACATTAACTTGTTGGTTCTAGGAAGGCTTGCAGTAAAGGAATCCAGTGTTTCCAGAACGTGATTGACCATGGAACATCTTCTCCCATATAATTCCTGTTAGTATCGTTCATAGACTGAACTAGGAAATGGCAGTTTAATCTGAAGAATAAACTGAAGATAAGGACTTTCATCCATGAGCAACACACTGCATATCAAGTGTATCATACCAAGCTTCTACTTTTTCTATGAGAAAATAGGGATGCAGACACCTAGGGTTGTATGCTATGCACTAATAGAATAAATGTATCTGGGGTTTGCCTCTATAAGGGAGGCAAAAGTTCTACCCTCTTTGGGTTTTTTGACTGGGCCTAAGAATTAAATTGACGTAAGACAGATTAACAGGACAAAAACATACACATTTATTTAATATAAGTTTTATGTGACACGGGAGCCCTCGTAAGGAAATAAAGCCCCAAAGAAGTGGCAAAACCTGAGGCTACAAAGCTGAACAAACAAGCAATTGTGGAAAATAACTATGTGGAGAGGCTAAAAGAAGGTAAGAATTATTTTAATAAGTTTTGTATAGAATTCTCTCAGCCTCAACATCCTGTCCTTGATAACAGTGTTATTCTCCTTCGGGTGTAGTGAGGACATATTCCATATGGGGGTTTTATCGCCTGTTTTTAGGAAGAAAAAGGGGAGAGTCAGAGTGCCCTTCCTGCACCTGCTGTTTAAGTGCCTGTAGCTCAAACTAGTCCTTATGCCAAAGTGGCATATTTTGGGATGACAAATCCTACCACCCTTCACCTCTTCCCCCTCCACCCCTTAATGATTAGCATTTGGCTTAAAACTGTGGTGATATTATAGCATTTATCATTTCCTTATATAATTTTTTAAATTTGGTGTTTAAAACCATAGTTTGCCTAAAAGCAGAGTGAGTTTTCTCCTATCAGATGGGACTTTAGCATTGTTAGTTGTAGGAAGCTGTTTACATTTTTACCTCCATCAGTAATTTTCCTTTTGTGAAGGGTTGAAATGCTCTGACCTATAAATGTATGCATACCACTTAAAAAAATCTAGTACCAGAAATTCATAAATAACAGTCCCTCCCCACACCCTAAGGGCAATCTCTCTCTCTCTGTCTCTCTTTTTTTGTTTTAAATTGTAGTATAATCGCTTTACAATGCTGAGGTCGTTTCTGCTGTTCAGTGGGGCAACCATTTTCTTTTTTTTTGCGGCACGCAGGCCCCTCACTATTGTGGCCTCTCCCGTTGCAGAGCACAGGCTCTGGACGCGCAGGCCCAGCGGCCACGGCCCACAGGCCCAGCCGCTCCGCGGCACGCGGGACCCTCCCAGACCCGGGCACGAACCCGTGCCCCCTGCATCGGCAGGCGGACCCCCAACCACTGCGCCACCAGGGAAGCCCGGGGCAACCATTTGTAACCTGTAACTGTTTTGTGGTGGTTTTATTTATTTATTTTTTTTTTTTGCGGTACGTGGGCCTCTCACTGTTGTGGCCTCTCCCGTTGCTGAGCACAGGCTCAGCAGCCATGGCTCACGGGCCTAGCCGCTCCGCGGCATGTGGGATCTTCCCGGACCAGGGCACGAACCCGTGTCCCCAGCATTGGCAGGCGGACTCTCAGCCACTGCGCCACCGGGGAAGCCCTGGTGGTTTTATTTTTAAGCAGTGTATTATATAGCTACTTCTTACTTTTTCAGTTCTAGGCGTCCCCTGCTGCCCGTATTCCAGCCACAGCCAATATATTTATTGCGATATAATACATAAGCAGAAAGGCCCACAAATCTTACGCTCATTGGATTTTTAGAAAGTGTTCATGTGCATTACCACCCCCCAGATCAAGAAATAGGACGTTGTCACGCCTCCGGGCCTCCTTCATGTCTTCTTCTAATCGTTAGCCCATAAAAGCCACTTTATCCTGACTTATAAATTAGGTTGCCTGTTTGTGAACTTCATATGTAATTGGATACCCTTTGTGTACTCCCTTCAGAGTACAGGTCCTTTGCATCCTGAGGTAGGTTTATTTTTAGGTATTTTATTCTTTTTAATGCGATGGTAAATGGGAGTGTTTCCTTCATTTCTGTTTCTGATCTTTCATTGTTAATATATAGAAGTGCAACAGATTTCTGTGTATTCGTTTTGTATCCTGCGCAACTTTACCATCATTCATTGATGAGCTCTAGTAGTTTTCTGGTAGCATCTTTAGGATTCTCTATGTATAGTATTATGTCATCTACAAACAGTGACAGTTTTACTTCTTTTTCAGTTTGTATTCCTTTTATTTATTTTTCTTCTCTGATTGTCATGGCTAGGACTTCCAAAACTATGTTGAATAAACGTGTCCTGTTCCTGATCTTGGAGGCAATGCTTTCAGCTTTTTACCATTGAGTATGATGTTAGCTGTGGGTTTGTCATAGGTGGCCTTTCTTATGTTGAGGTAGGTTCCCTCTTTGCCCACTTTCTGGGGAGTTTGTATCATAAGTGGGTGTTGAATTTTGTCAAAGCTTTTTCTGCATGTATTGAGATGATCCTTTGGTTTTTGTTCTTCAGTGTGTTGATGTGCTGTATCACACTGATTGATTTGCAGATAATGAAAAGTCCTTGTATCCCTGGGATAAATCCCACTTGATCATGATGTATGAACCTTTTAATGTATCGTTGGATTCAGTTTGCTAGTATTTTGTTGAGAATTTTTGTGTCTATGCTCATTAATGATATTGGTTGTAATTTTCTTTTTTAGGCATATCTTTATCTGGTTTTGTTTTCAGGGTGATGGGGGCCTCGTGGAATGAGTTTGGGAGTGTTCCTTCCTCTGCAATTTTTTGGAAGAGTTTCAGAAGGGTAGGTGTTAACTTTCTTTAAATGTTAGATAGTGTTTGCCTGTGAAACTGTCTGGTCCTGGACTTTTTTGTTGGGAGTTTTTAAATCACAGTTTCAATTTCAGTACTTGTGATTGGCCTGTTCATATTTCCTGTTTCTTTATGGTTCAGTCTTGGAAGAATGTACCTTTCTAAGAATTTGTCCATTTCTTCTAGGTTATCCATTTTATTGGCATATAGTTGCTTGTACTAGTCTCTTATGATCCTTTGTATTTCTGTGGTGTCAGTTGTAACTTCTCCTTTTTCATTTCTAATTTTAGTGGTTTGAACCCTCTCCCTTTTTTTCTTGATGTGTCTGGCTAAATGTTTATCAATTTTGTTTGTCTTTTCAAAGAACCAGCTTTTAGTTTCATTTATCTTTTCTGTTGTTTTCTTCATCTCTAATTCATTTATTTCTGCTCTGATCTTTATGGTTTCTTTCCTTCTACTAACTTTGGGTTTTGTTTGTTCTTCTTTCTCTAGTTGTTGCAGGTGTAAGGCTAGGTTGTTTGAGATTTTTCTTGTTTCCTGAGATACGCTTGTATTGCTATATATTGAATACTTCCCTCTTAGAACTGCTTTTGCTGCGTCCCATAGGTTTTGGATCATCATATTTTCATTTGTCTCTAGGTATTTTTTTGATTTCCTCTGATTTCTTCAGTGATCCATTGGTTATTTGGTAGCATATGGTTTGGCCTCCACGTTTGTGTTCTTTACAGTTTTTTACTTGTAGTTGATTTCTCTTTTTTTTTAAAATTTATTATATTTTATTTTTGGCTGCGTTGAGTCTTTGTTGCTGCGCATGGGCTTTCTCTAGTTGTGGCCAGTGGGGGCTACTCTTCGTTGCGGTGTGTGTGCTTCTCATTGCGGTGGCTTCTCTTTGTTGTGGAGCATGGGCTCTAGGCACACGGGCTTCAGTAGTTGTGGTGCACGGGCTTGGTTGCTCCATGGCGTGTGGGATCTTCCTGCATGAGAACTCGAAGTTGATTTCTAATCTCATAGTGTTGTGGTTGGAAAAGATGCTTGATATGATTTCAGTTTTCTTAAATTTACCAAGGCTTGCTTTGTGGCCCAGCATGTGATCTATTTTGGAGAATGTTCCATGTGCACTTGAGAAGAAAGTGTATTCTGCTGCTTTCGGGTGGAATGCTCTGTAAATATCAATTAAGTCCATCTGGTCTGATGTGTCATTTAAGGTCTGTGTTCCCTTATTGATTTTCTGTCTGGACGGTCTGTCCATTGAAGTAAGTGGGTTGTTAAAATCCCCCACTACTATTGTGTTTCTGTTGATTTCTCCTTTTATGGCTGTTAACATTTGCCTTATATATTAACGTGCTCCTTTGTTGGGTGCATACATATTTACAGTTGTTATATCTTCTTGGATTGATCCCTTGATCATTATGTAGTGTCCTTCTTTGTCTCTTGTAACAGTCCTTATTTTAAAGTCTATTTTGTCTGATACGAGTGTTGCTACTCCAGCTTTCTTTTGATTTCCAATTGCATGGAATACCGTTTTCCATCCCCTCACTTTCAGTCTGTATGTGTCCCTTGATCTGAAGTGGGTCCTTGTAGATAACATATATATGGGTCTTGTTTTTGTATCCATTCAGCCAGTCTGTCTTTTGGTTGGAGTATTTAATCCATTTACATTTAAGGTAATTATTGATATGTATGTTCTTATTGTCATGTTGTTAATTGTTTTGAATTTGGTTTTGTAGGTCTTTTTTCTTCTCTTCCTCTTTTGTTTTCTTGTGATTTGATGACCATTTTTAGTGTTGTGTTTGGGTTGTTTTTTTTTTTATTTTTATTTTTTTGCTTTTTCTTTTTTGTGTGTATATGTATTGTAGAATTTTGGTTTGCAGTTACCATGAGGTGTTGATATAGCAGTCCATATACACACACACACACACACACACACACACACACACACACACACACACAAGATTGTTTTAAGTTGCTGGTCTCTTAATTTCAAATGCATTTCCAGTATCCTACATTTGTACTCTCCTCACGATTGCTGGTTTTGATATATTTGTGTGTGGATGATTCCTATCTTTACTATATGTTTGCCTTTACTGGTGAGCTTTCCTATTTGTAATTTTCTTGTTTCTAGCTGTGGCCTTTTCTTTTCCACTTTTAGCATTTGTTGTAAAGCTGGTTTGGTGGTGCTGACTTATCTTTTGCTTGTCTGTAAAGCTTTTGATTTCTCTGTTGAATCTGAATGAGAGTCTTGCTGGGTAGAGTATTCTTGATTGTAGGTTTTTCTCTTTCATCAGTTTATGTTGTGCCACTTCCTTCTGACCTGCAGAGTTTCTGTTGAAAAATCAGCTGACAGCCCTATGGGGATTCCCTTGTATGTTATTTGTTGCTTTTCCCTTGTTGCTTTTAATATTTTCTCTGTGCCTTTAATTTTTATCAGTTTGATTACTGTGTGTCTCAGCATGTTTCTCCTTGGGTTTATCCTGTATGGGACTCTGCACTTCCTGGACTTGGGTGACTGTTTCTTTGCCCATGTTAAGGAAGTTTTCAGCTATTATCTCAGGCCCTTTCAGATATTTTCTCAGGCCCTTTCTCTCTCTCTTCTCCTTCTGGGACCCCTATAATGTGAATGTCGGTGTGTTTAATGTCCCAGAAGTCTCTTAAACTGTCCTCAATTCTTTTTTCTTTATTCTGTTCCATGACAGTGAATTCCACCATCCTGTCTTCCAGGTCACTTATATGTTCTTCTGCCTCATTCTGCTATTGATCCCTTTTAGTGTATTTTTCATTTCAGTTATTGTATTTGTTCAACTCTGTTCTTTATAACATCTAGCTCTTTGTTAAAGATTTCTTGTATCTTCCTGGTCTGTACCTCCATTCTTTTTCTGAGATCTTGTGTCATCTTTACTATCATTACTCTGAATTCTTTTTTTGAGTAGATTGCCTGTCTCCACTTCACTTAGTTATTCTTCTGGGGTTTTATCTGATTCCTTCAGCATATTCCTCTGCCATCTCATTTTGCGTAACTTTCCGTGTTTGTGATCTCCGTTCCACAGGCTGCAGGGTTGTAGGTCCTCTTGCTTCTGGTGTCTTCCCCCTGGTGGATGAGGCTGGTCTAGAGACTTGTGCAGGCTTCCTAGTGGGAGGACTGTTGCCTGCCCAATGGTGGGTGGAGCTGGGTCTTGACCCTCTGGTGGGCAGGGCTACGTCAAGGGTTGTGTTTAGAGGTGGCTGTGGGCTCAGGAAGACTTTAGACAGCCTGTCTGCTGATGGGTGGGGCTGTGTTGCCACCCTGTTGGTTGTTTGGCTTGAGGTGTCACAACACTGGAGCCTACAGGCTGTTGGGTGGGACCAGGTCTTGGTGTCATTATGGCAGCCTCCAGGAGACCTTATGCCAATGAGTAATCCCCAGTACCTCTGCCACCAGTGTCCTTGTCCCCACAGTGGGCCACAGCCACCCCCCGCCTCCCAAGAGACTCTCCAAGAGCAGCAGGTAGGTCTGGCCCAGGCTCCTATGAAGTCACTGCTTTTTCCCTGGGTCCCAGTGCACATGAGACCTTGTGTGCACCCTCCACAAGTGGAGTTTTTGTTTTCTCCAGTCCTGTGGAGTTCCTGCCATCAAGCCCCGCTGGCCTTCAAAGCCAAAAGCTCTGGGGGCTCCTCCTCCTGATGCCAGATCCCCAGGCTGGGGAGCCGGACATGGGGCTCAGAACTCTCACTCCTGTGGGAGAACCTCTGTGATACAATTATTTTCCAGTTTGTGGGTCACCCACCCAGCAGGTATGGGATTTGATTATATCACACATACGCCCTCCTACTGTCTTGCTGTGGCTTCTTCTTTGTCTTTGGACATAGAATATCTTTTTCTGGTAGGTTCCAGTCTTTTTTGTTGATGGTTGTTCAGCAGATGGTTGTGATTTCGGTGTTTTCATGAGAGTAGGTGTGTTCAAGTCCTTCTACTCTATCATCTTGTGTCAGAATCCAAAGTAGACGTTTAAGATAATGAGCATTTCTAGAAATTAAAAAGGTCATTTCAGGATGATAAAAGGTTGATCCACCAGTAGTGGGGGAAAAAAAAACCCCACATAAATATTGAACACAATTACCCAACTTGACGTAATTAACATGTGTACCCAGCAACTGCAGAATTCACCCAACATGATAGATCCCTCTATTTATGTAAGACTTCTTGAATTTCTGTCAGTAATATTTTGTTGTTTTCTGTGTAGAGGTCTTGCACATCTTCATTGCTAGGCATTTGATGTTTGTTGATTCTAGTATAATATATTTTATTTTCTACTTGTTAATTTTTGTAAATTGATCTTTGTGACAGATTGTATTTTCCAAGGATGCTCCCATCCCACATGCTCTTTACAGTGTGGTATGAACATCCTCCAAAGAGAAGTGAGGTTTATAATCCCATCCCTTGAACCTGTGAACTTCGTAACTTCTTGTGGTAAGTCAGGGGCTTGGGTGTTGTTCAAGGAGGAGACAAGATAAACTTTAAACACATAAACTTTATTTGGATGGCAGTTGGACAGGATTGCATGAGAGAGGAAGTCCTTCAACACGTGAGAACTGACAGAACTTAAGAAAAAATTAGTTCCAGAGATGGTGGCGTGAGACCACCACCTATAAGTGGAACAGGACAAGGGGACTCCCAGGGGCAACAGGGAAATCAGAGAGGGGCTCATGTGTCTAGGTGATGTCCCTCAGCAGCAGTTGCTCTGAAGGACAAGCAGTGGTTTGGGGTCTTAGAGCTATAGGATTGTCTTATCTATGGTCAGCAGATGTTCAATACAATTTCATGGGGTATGTAAAGTAGGTAGGCTCTAATCGGCTAAAATTATGGTTTGGGACAATATTTAAAGCAGTCGATGTGTGAGGATTTGAGTTTGTCACAGGCGGGCTTTTAGCTAATGATCCTAGCCTGCTTTACAATGTTGTGTTAGTTTCTGCTATACGGCAAAGCGAGTTAGTTATACACATATCCGTTAGAAATTTAAATTTTAAACATAAATTAATCGGCCAAACTATTTAGCCAAAGATATTTTGCCAAATGGCTTTGAATTTGGGATGCTTAAGGCAATACAAAACTCCAAGCTTTTTCAAACACATATTTATTTTTGGCATCATCCTATGTCCAAGACATTGTTTTGTGATCAAGCCTTCCGTCTTCCTGGAACACTTCTCACACTTTCTCCTCTCCCTTTCCTCCATCTGCCTGGTTAACTGTGTCCTTCAGCTGAGGTTTTAGGTAGCCCTTCCAAGTTAGATGGCCCCACGTGAGTTTCCACAGCACCCTGTACTTCCCCTATCATAATGATTACGTTCTATTATCATTACTTGTTTGACGTTTTACCCTGCAAATACATGAGCTCCGCAAGAGCTGAGATTATACCTGTGGTATTTTATCAAATCCAAAATGCCTGGCACATAGTAGGTGCTTAATATTAGAATAAATGAATGAATTCAAATGCATAAGCATGGTTCTTGCCAGAAAAATTACCATCTAGAAAGGGGCCATAACAGGTAAAGATCTGTACAATACTAAGGGTGGTAAGAAAGAATTGTGAGAATGCAGTAAGGAGGTAGGAAGAGTGCACTGGGAATATGGAAGAGGAAAGCTCCTGGGTGAGATCCAGGAATTATTATCCAGTCTTGAAGGATGGGTAGGTAGAAGCAGGGCACATGAATCAGTGAGATTGAGGCAGGAGAGCTTTTGGCCTTTAGAAAACTGTGGATGAAAGCAGAGGTCCTCAAAGTATTGTCTTAGTGAAATGTGTAGTATTTACAGTGTGATCATGGCTCTGCTTTTACTTTTGGCATGGATTAATAACGTGCTAAAATTTAAGTTTAATAAATGGCAACTTCTTGTCAAGGCTGTGCAGTTCTATCCATTGGTGAGGTGTCTCTTCCCTTTCTCCACCTCACTTCCCCTACCCGGCCTTTGTGAAATCAGAAGAGTGGGCTAAATGATTGGGGAAAGCACAGAGCTTCTCATACTTCAATGTGCATATAAATCACCTGGAAAATGCAGATTCTGGTTCAGTAGGTCGGGGGTGGGGTCCGAGAATTTCCATCTCTAACTACCTCTCAAGTGATGCTCAAACGCTGTCCCGAGACCACACTTTAAGTAGCAGGATCTGGGGTGGAGCTCTAGCTGTGGACTAAAGAGACCATCACAGGTAGAGTTGCAGCAACTTGGAGAAGGTTCTCTGGTTCAGTGATTCTGGCCACCCCTCCCACCATGTTCCTTCATTCTTAATCATTTACAGGTGTTTTGGGTTTTATTTACTATTCCTTTGCTTTTGCAATCCAGTTCGTGAATTCTGGTTAAGTTGCGATGCTCCTCAGGAACTGAAGATGGCAGCACAATCTTAGTCATTAAAGGACACTTCCATCCTAAATGCTGTTATGCAAAGGAAAAGCATTTTCCTGCCCCTCTGTATGTTTCTTATTCTCTGGCCTGATACATGCTTAGAGAAGACAAGTTTCTTTGCAGATGGAGCATAGTTTTCCAGTGATTTTTGAAAATCAGGCTGGACTAAGATTATGTCAAAACCTTTTTTCTTAAAGCTTTTTTAGAACCCTGTTTTAAATGTTTATTAAATTTTGTATATTCAAGATGAATTGCAATTTCTGTTAAAAAATTCCTGGATTGTTTTGAAGTATTTTCATTTCTCCCAGAGAAAGTGTTGTCTTTCAGCTGCTAATTATTCATGCTCTATCTAGTGAATACATAATCATGGAATTTAGGCTAAAAGAGATTGAAGAGCTTTCAACCAATTAGCTCACTTGACAAAAGAGAAAACAGGCTCCCCAATTTTGCTGAAGTTCTCTTGAAAGAGTTTCGGTACGTTGCAACAAAAAATCCTAACAGACCCATATATGACAGACCTTCCAGTGCAGCTAAAGACAGAGGATCTTGTCTATGCTTTATGTATTCTTAATTTGATTTTGGCTTCACAGCAAGCTGCTTTCTGACCTCTCCCAGGGCTAAGAATGCCCCATTTGTGTCTAGAGCTACTTGTCGTCTCTCATTGCAGTAGATTATAGATTAAGCCAGTGGTTCTGAAACTTTACTGGGCATTAGAATCACTTGAAGGGCTTCTTGTTAAAATGCAGATTTCTAATTCAGTAAGTCTGAGGTCAGGGTTGTGAATTTGAATTTCTAACAAGCTCTCAGGTGATGCTAATTCTTATTCCATCACCTGAGATGCAGGACCACACTTTGAGAACCATCAGATTAAGCTAACATTGGGGCTACATGTTTCTTCATTATGTTCATCAAGAAAGAGAGCATCCCAACATTCCCACAAAGAGCGCTGAGATTCACCCTTCCTAGACCAAGTTAGGGCATGTGATTACCCCTAAACCAGTTTCTGCAGTCATGAGGAAGGAATGTGCTGAATGGCAAAGCCAGAATCACCTCTGTCTGCAGTTGAAAAGCAGGGCTGTGGGAAAGAAGAACTAGAGTCCACTATAAGTGTGTGGTATGAATGAAAGTCACCTTGTAACCATCACAAAGCTTCTCAGGCAACCACCGAAGAAAAATAACACATGCTAAATACACGTGTCTTAGAACAGGTCAAAACTGCATTTGGTAATGAGTTTATTTACTATTTGATAGAATTGTTCCTTTGTTTATTTGAGACAAGTCCTTAGGTTATTGGCTCTCAGCTGTAACTAAGGTAAAATGTCTTTGGATTTCACAAGTATTAGTCTCTTATATGTAAGTCGAACTTGGTTAATAATTTAAGATGGTAAAAATCTGTCTTCAAAGCATGAACGTTTAGTTTACTAACAATTAGCTTTATGGGATACTTTTAAAGACCAGGATAAATAGTGAAGTATAATTTGGCCCACTGGAGGGCAGTAGTTTCTGGATACCAGCCAACAATTTAGAGCATGGCTTTCTGCTCCAGTGCTAATTACGATGTTGATTTGAGCAGCAGCTCTAGTCTCAGCGATAAGGGCAGGGGTGGAAACCTGAGTCGTGGTTAAAATGTGCAATATTGAAGCTTCCCGATTCCCGATCATTGCAGTGCAGCCTTGTTTGGATCTGTAATGAATTCCTTCCCTGTGAACAGCCAGACACCTCATTACTACCCAGACCTGCTTTCACTCTGCCAGTACTTTCTTTAGTGGGGCCATTCAAGTTCCTTAGATTATGAGGCCGTGGAATTGCATAACGCTGTACTTATTCCTAGCCGAGAATAGAGCAGCCTGATGGAACCACCCAGTCAGATACCCTCTCTGGGAGCTTGTTCTACCCCCATGCACTAAGCTCTTTGTCCTGGATAGCCCCATGTGAGCAGGAATTCAAGATAACAGCCAAAGCATACTTCTTTTGGGACATGCTCCCATGCCAACCTCTCTTTTGTTGACTCTGCTGCAAATGCACGCCCTCTTTCTCGGGCTTGAATGCCACTCCAGCATTGACACAGACTGGCAAACAACCCATCAGAACCAGCCAATTAACCAACCACTGGTCTGTTTCCCTTAATTTCTCCAAAATATATATATATATATTTTTCAGGCTGCCATCTTTCTGAGGACCTGAAAGGTTGTTTGGCCCCATTCTTTCTAAGAATATGGTGTTATACCTAACATTTCATGTTTAGATTTTTATTGACAATGCTTTGAGCTCTTTGGAGCAAACGAACAAAATGCACTTAATTCATGAACAGCTGGACAGTGAGCTGAGTCTTGGCTTTCAGTGCTTGCTAAGTGTCTCCTTGGCGGGACCATGTCCAAGCGGGGGTGGCCTCTGGAAGCCTTTCTCAGGCCGTACTGGCCCAGCCTTCCACAACAGGAGGCAAACACAGCTGGGCTCAACCAGGTGCCAGGAACCTCATTTTCATCTCTACTTAGAATCCTCTTTCAGTGCAGTTGTGAGATCAAGACTGTTCTGCTAGATTTTATTTGCATTTGAATGGAGAACTATTTCTACATTCTAGACGAAGTGAAGTAGTTCGACTCAGCCATGTCTTAAGAGCCCACTGGCACGGTCACCCTCAAGGAGCAGCAGACGGTGACCCCATCCTGCCCACAAAGAGCTCTCAACCTAGTTTGCTTCTAATAACTCTAGAAACTCCACTTCTCTCTCTCCTTATCTTACATTGTCCTTTTATCAAATTTTCTTTCAATAATCTGAAGAATTTTTCTTCTGTTCTCCTCTCCAACCCTCATCTGCAACTCAAACTGATGCCCATGGGAAGATCTCGCTCCCGCTAAGCCTGCAGTAGATGGTATAAGATCCTCCCTTCCCTGGAAACCATACATCCCTGCCCATTGCTGTGTGACTCATGGTGCCTCCCGGCAGGCAGAGTGTTATCAGGCTTGGTCATATGTCTTGCTTAGGCCAGTGGCATGTGACCAGAAGTGACACTGAGCCACTCTGGAGTGGAAGTTTTAGGAGGAGGCTTAAACCTTGAAGACATGGCTGCCCATTCTACTAGTTTTTTGCTTTTCCCTCTGCCCTGATCCAAATAGGGGCTTCACCTTTGGTTTTGGTCCTAGAATGAGAAGACATTAAGAAGAGCTGTAGTCAGTCCACAGCCACCAAACTGTAAGTGTAATGTAAAGATACCATTGTCATAAGGCACTGAGAATTCCAGGGTCATTTGTTACTGCAGCAGAGCCAACTAATATAAAGGCCAAACCATAAATAATAACTAAATAAGATAAATAAGATATAATAGTCACAATTCCCAGTTACCTTTATTTATATAAAAGTATATTAAATAAATAATCTCAATATATACAAACAGAATATTACCTCTATAAATAGAAAATCCCCATATATAAAACCTTTTTTCAAATTATATAAATATGTACAATGTTGATCATAAAGTGTGAAGTACCTTAAATCTTAAACTCTATGTAATTTGTTGGTATAGTAGTCTTATAAAAATACAGCTATCTGTCAAGTGTTTCATCAACGGCATTTAAGTCAGTTAAAGTGCTAAACTGTAATGCATGTTATGAATGTGCCCCAAATACAAGTCTTCTGCTTTTAACACATTCATATAAATGTTTGCTAATTGTTTCGAACCTCCAAAAGTACTCAAAAAAAAAAAAACCCTAAACACCATATTACAAAAGGACAGACATACGTTAGAAAGTCCACCCAGTTTCCATTTTACTCTCCCACATGGTTTGAAGTCGGCCTCTCAAAAGTTCTCCAAAAATCCACCCAGGACTTTTTAGGGCATTTGTTCATTTGTTTTTCCTTAGATGATCTGGCTTCAACTTGAGTGTAGAAAATATACAGTCTAGAGCATGATATGTGCAAAAGGTGCTGTAGCATTAAAATAAATAGAAATTGAAAAAACTTGGAATTGGTTGTACCGCTCATTACGTCCCAAAGTGTCTAATGCTGATGTTGAAACCAGAATGCTAATCGTGAGAATAGGTCAGATAAGAGCTTTCTTTGAGCCCAAGGGTCTCTCTCTAAGCTCCAAACACTCATTTGTGTTTCCATGTATTCTACTGCCTTAAATGTTCTTGGTCACAGTGCAACACGAGTTCTGCAGAGCTGGCAGATCCAAGAGCAGGATCTTTCATGCAACATTGAGGGGCAAGCTCTCCTTCCCACTTCGCCCTGCTCTCGCCTTCCTGCACTTATACAGAGACACAGACAGGACGATGATGAAGATGATGACAACAAGCATCACTGCTACAACGATGAAGGGCATTTCTGAAAAATAAAAGGTACCAAGTCAACTCAGAGAGAGAGCTTGAATCCCATTTATCAGTGGGCAGAACTGAAGGCATAACCCCAAATTACACCATCCTGCTTTTGCGTAACTTGAAATTTCTTTTCTGTACTCTTTCCACCACAACACATTTCGATTAGGAAGGAATCTGTCAAACCCTAGGTGTTTGCGGGCAATTGACAGTGGTGAAAACGATTTAATAAACTGGATAATGCTCACAGTCTAGAAAGATGCATGAAGACGAAAGCAAGAACGGCTGTTAGAAACAAGTGACTGAAAATGATGCTGACTTTGGTGGCAACGATTATAGAAGCTGAACTCTCAGTGCAAAGAGAGATACAGAGCACTACCAAGATTCAAGTAAAGAAGAGATGATAACTGGTTGGGGCAATAAGAAGGCTTCCTGGTGGAGGTGGCATTTGAAATGATTCTCAAAGGACCCAATTCAGCAGATAGAGAAGAGGCAGGGGAAGCAGCGATCTAGGTGTGCATGAAGTCAGAGAGCAGCGGAACTCAGGCTGGCTTTAGGAGGATGGACCTGAGGGCTGTGGGTATGAGGGCCCAGACGGTGCAGAACCAGAGGGAAAGAGAGCCCTTTCCTTCTGTCAGTGTCAATAAATGGGAGGGAATTTTAAAAGTGTTTTTAAAAGGCTTAAATTACATCTTAACAAGGCACTAGGTCATTATTGCTATCCTTTGACTTTTTGTTCCCAAAAGTACTCAGAGCACTACCCGCTCAAGCCTGGTGGGAGATTCCTGGGCTCTCACCCTCATGCACGTGTCTGAGCCTCCATGGCATCTCCAGATAAGATCTACTCCTCACTTGGTGTCAGGGCCCTGGTGTGGCACATAATGTACACACACACACGTGCCGGCCAGGGACACACACATGCATGTGGTATACCTGATAGACTCAATCCCTTCCCTTCGTGGGTTAAAACCTTTGTGGCAACAGCCCACAGTAGGTGCTCATAAATGTGCATCAGGTGCTACTGCACCTGGCCCGGAAGCTGCCCCCAAGCTCCCCAAGTCAGAATTTAAGTAGAAGAAATGCTCAGAGAAATCTGCATTTGATGCTAAATCCTAAACATGTACCATGGGCCCAGGGCTCAGCAGAGAGCTTAGCGCATGGTACGTGCTCAGAAAAACACTTGCTAATACAAGGGAACAACATAGAAACATCTCTAAATGCCTAAAATTATGAGTACCCCCAAAACCACAAAAAACCAAGGCAGTTTTCCACTGAAGAAAGTACATCCTCGTCCTGGAAGGCACCCCTCCCTCCCTCCCAGATGGATCAGGGGTAGAGCCACTCACCCGTGGACAGAACTTTCTCTTGGCTAGTACACTCGATGGGACTTTCTGCACTCTTCTGGTTGGCTCTTCGTGATGCAATCACTGCTTGAACATTGAAACAGTAGTTTTCTCCTTCATCCACATCAATCAGAAACTCATTAGTGTTCGTCGTGGCCTTTTTCTGTTAAAAGATAGAGTCCTTTATTCATCTGGGCTCAGAGTGAATTCTGCCCCCTTTACTAAGTCACTGTGGTAGTTAAAGCCTACATGGACACATCTGACATAAAGGATTGGAAGTGAGTTGGCTCATCAAGTTCCCCTGATAACTGCTAAGGATGTTTTTTTCCCAAGGATAAAGGTATCCAGTTTGGGCACATCCAACCCAGTTTTTAGCCCCTTTAGAAGATATCTGGGGCTTCCCTGGTGGCGCAGTGGTTGAGAATCTGCCTGCCAATGCAGGGGACGTGGGTTCGAGCCCTGGTCTGGGAAGATCCCACATGCTGCGGAGCAACTAGGCCCGTGAGCCACAACTACTGAGCCTGCGCGTCTGGAGCCTGTGCTCCGCAACAAGAGAGGCCGCAATAGTGAGAGGCCGGCGCACCGCGATGAAGAGTGGCCCCTCCCTCGCCGCAACTAGAGAAAGCCCACGCACAGAAACGAAGACCCAACACAGCCAAAAATTAATTAATTAATTAATTTTTAAAAAAGATATCTGCAGTAAAGGAAAATAGGAATGAAGTATTAATTGTTGAATGGAAAACAAATCTTGTCTCTGGGATCCTCCGTAGAGGAAGAAATGCGGGAGCTGGTGGGAACCTTGGAGATGACCGGTCCAGCCCCTTGGCTGAGGAACCTGAGTATCCGAGGAGGCCCTGACCAAGGCAGCTGGAATTCACAGGTAAAACCAGGACAGCGGCCCCTCCCACTCCGCCACCCTGTCCTCTCAACCACCCGCTCTGATATTTGAGTTGGAAAAGAAGTAGGCTGTAAAATCAAGGATCTGCAATTTAAAACGAGTCATAAAAACAAAAGAACGCTCACCTTTCCTGTACTTGAAGCTCTCCAATAATAAAGTATATAATTCAAGTCCTTGCCAAAAACATCGCGGAGGCTTAGGAATGTGCCGCTCACTCTGACTAAGGTACGTGCATCTTGTACAGTCACATTCAGTTCTGTCCCAACTTGTTCAAAACTCCGAATTGTGGGCTGTCCAAGGTTTGCTAAAACACAGAAAATGAGCTTTGTTGGAATCAAAGAATTCTAGACAAAGTAGAATCCCATTAATCACGGTTAATAACAACTTGGTCATCCCTCATGAAACAGCTCATAGAACCAACTCCCTAGCCCCAGAGCTGGGCCCCGAGACGTTCTACAGCAGTGCTGTCCAGTGGAAATGTAGTGGGAGCCACAGATGTCACCTTAAGTTTCCTTGGAGTCACATTAGAAAATGTAAAAAGGAACAGGTGAAGTTAATTTTAATAATATATTTCTTTTAACCCCATATGGCTAGAATATTATCATTTTAACATTTAATCAGTATAAAAACTTTAGGAGATCTTTCTCAAAATCCAGCGTGTATTTTACACTTAGGGCATTAGCCATATCTCAAGTGCTTAGCAGCCACATGTGGTTAACCAAACAGCTGCATAAGATTCCATATCTTAGATACAATAAATTAGAGGCTGTGGGAAAGCCCAAGAAATGTCTGTCCTTGGTACCTCAAGGAAACAGTTTTAACCACCAGGTCTCTTTGATGGCTCAATTATCTCATGTGCTTTGGTTGAAGGACAGTAAAACAAATCCCGATAACTTAAAGGAACTATATGCAAGTATGTGTGTGTGTGAGCACATGCAAAAACATAAACTATTTTCCCTCTTGCACCGAAAAAGGATTTGCAGTGGCTGACAAAAACTCAAGAACTATAAAAAGGAATCATGAGGATGCTGCCAGTGGAGGGAGAATAAATGTCAATGACCCTGCAGTTACTGCAGGCGGCTGTGGGTAGGGTCGCTACTCTAGCTAAGTGCTGGGAGAGGCACACAGGTAGAAGCACTAGGGGAGTTTGAAGACGGGCTCTGGCACACGGGGGCTCAGGGCAGGCAGCCAGATTCACCTGGGGTGAGGCTGGCCCTATTTCCACCCTCAGAGTAGGTGCTAAGGGGAAAGGCGGCTGCCTGTCCCTCTGGCCCCTTCTCTCCATCCCTGCTTTTGAGAAACTCCCCTCTGGGTGTCAGAAGGGTAAATATAAAAGCACCAATAACACAACACTTTCATTCCAAGTCTTCTTGCTAGAGCAGCTGATTTCGCTCTTCTCAATGCGCTACATGTGTTTATTTAAAATACCTAGTTCAGAACCATAGCCGTGACAAAAAATGTACGTCTCCTACTTGGCAGGAATCCTCTGCTCTCCCTTAGTAGATGCTCAAGTCAGTTTCCTGGGCCAAAGGCTGAGGAGAAGAGCACTCTGCGTTTTCAAGACCAGCAAGAAGGAAGCAGGATGGGAGCTGGCCCGGCAAGTGCCAGCACATCACAGGACTCAGATCATGGTCAAGTGATTAAAAAGGTCAGCAAGCCCAATGATGAGATTGGAGGGAGACGGAACTCTCCCCATGGACTCATGACCACCTGTGAAAAACCCTCAACTGGGACTTCTGAAAATTCAGAAGGGAGGTATATAGAATCTCCTAAATATATATGGGGAAATAATACTGGAACCCCAGGCTTGGTGAATTTCCTACTCCCTGCCCCTCATCCAGCCAGTTACTGGTAGGGTCTGGGGACAGACTGGTGGAGAAACCTACTTGATGACATTGTTATCAACTCCAAAGTTCACGTTCCGTCAACCTCCTGCCACATCCGGAATGAGCGAAGAGGCCTGTGGCACTTACCAGTTTCTGAGAAAGAAGATGTGTTTATGGATATTTTTTTATGTCATGGCTCCTAAGGGTCACAAGCTCACAAGAATATTCAGAAGTTTTTGAAAACAAGAATGAACGGTTACTACAAACCGAGCTACTTACTCTCTAGGTAAGGTGTGAACTCCAGGGAGTTGGTAAACGGAGGCTCCCCAGTAGAACCGATGGCATCCAATGGGTAGGAAAAGACCCGGGCCAAGTATGTCTCTTTCACGTTTTTCACGATCTCGTCGGTGACGTCACACTCTGTGTCTGTTGTGTAGAAGCATTTGTTTTTCCAATTTCCTAATCTAGAGCTGAAGGAAGAGAAATGGAACATTATGATTTGCATCCAACAAGACAAACTGTTTTCTGGCTGGGGTGCCTTGTTACAACAGCAGCTTCCCACAAGCAATCCCAAGGAGGCGTTTGGTATGCTGAGCACTTTAGATGAGTTTGAATCCTCACAGCAACCTGCGGGTGGCTCTGTAATTGTCTCTGTTCTTACCGATAAGGCAATGGAGGCAAAGGGAGACTGGGTGACCAGCTCCAAGTCACACAGCTGGATTTTGAGCCAGACAGCAATTTGACTACTGGGTCTGTGCTCTGAACCGTTTTGTTAAATATCTTCCTTAAAATGTAGATGATTTGTCATGACTATGAGGGATAAAGGGCAATTTTCCATCAAGACCCAATTATTTATTACAGTCCACTTGTTATGTTCTGTTTACCACATTCTATATTCTATGTAATATATTCTATCCTATTACATTCTATTGTGACCATTCTTGGTGTGGTTATTTAACAGTTATTGAATCTACTATAAGCCAGGCACTGTACTGGACCCTCAGCCATGTTACTTTGTTTGGTATAATCCTTCCAAGAAGGTATTGGATCTTCCTTACATATGAGGACCCTGAAGCACAGAGCTGCTAGGTAACTTGTACAAGGTCTCACAGCTTATGCGGTGAGAGCTGGGTCTGTTCCTCTCATTATATGACATGCCTCCCTCACTTTCACAAGATGTGCTGTCAAAAACTATAGAGCAACAACACAGGTGGTTATCTGTCAAAGTCTGAGACTAAGAGACAGATCTGACGAAAGACAGAGCTTTCTTTTGTAAGATGTCATTGAAGAGGAAATGATTTAAAGTACTGCCAAAAATGAAAGTATCCTGAAGTGATATAAAGAGCTTCTAAAAATGAAATTATTCTACAGAACCAAGACAATTCCTAGACAAATGTCACTGCAGTTGGATCCACACACATCTGTCCCACATAAGTTGACAGCTACCCTGACCTTCCCCATCATCAACCACTAGCGTTCCCTACCCTTCATTCAAGGCCACGTTCCAATCCCACCTTCTGCAGGAATCTCCAGATCTCCTTGCTCAGAATTAATCTTTCCCTTCCCCATCCCCCAGCACTGACATCTCATTAAAGCACTTAAGGTGAGGGTGGTACCAGGGCTCCACGCTTGCGCTCCCCCATCACGCAGTGGGGCTTTAGGGCTTGCACATGGCCAGGCCTTGCTGGATATTAGATGGTTTACATTTCCAGGTTGAACCAGGGGAAAACAAGCTGCCATATGGATTCAGTTGTCTAAATCCAGGCATGAGAACCATAAATAAGTATTTTTTTAAAAGTCTGAACTAAGTAATCGGGCTAAGAGGGTGTGAGTAAACACACTCTTGGTCCTTAAATTCACAAATAAAGATTGATACAGAAATATCAGTTTACATACTCTTAGATTTCTCTAATTTTCTGTGATAAAAGTAGAGATGCAGTCTTAATTCCAGAATGACCAGAATGCATTTTTTTAAATTACATCATTTCTATTTTAAAAAGTGAATGAGAACCTGATGGTTCTTCTCCACTGCTATGGCAAACAAATGGTTCAGATAACAGGAGCAACACTGCTGGGTGCTGAGGCTACACTCTGTCTGAGAGATATATAGCATTTGGTTCCTTCCAGCTCACAATAGCAACCACAGTCCTCTGACAAAATTTAGCACAAGCAACTAAATCATCAAAAGTAATAAAGCCATGAAGTGCTGTGAACAGGTTAGGAAGGGGCAATTCTGCAGTTCATTTCCTCTGAATGCTATAATCAGCATGAACAATATAAACGCCTCCAAGGTTCCTCTGGGTATTGCAAAATCTCCTGATTTGGAAATAATAAAAGTTCCGCCTGAACTTCTAAAAAATCCCAACAGAATCCAGACTCACCAATTAAGAAGCAAGTTGTTTTCTACAAGCTTGGGGAGTTCTGTTTTAGAATTCAGCACGTTTCATGGAATCAATACTACAAGGGATGGTCGGTGCTAAGGCTTGAGCCAGTAACACTTTGCAACCACCGGTGAACACTTTCCAAAGGGTAAAAAGGCAGTTGGCGCTCCAAGGAGGGGCTTCAGACACAGCAGCGGCACCCTGTGTTTGAGGACTGGCTGGTGGTGAGGTGGGTGGGTCAGGAGGAGCAGCAGGTCAAGACACTTTCTCTAGGGAAGGAAACCGGGAGGGAGGAAGGCGCACTGCGGAGGCCAGTGGGAATGACTTTCTTTCCTCCTCCCGGCTTTGGAGCCCCACATCACACCCGGGGGAGACCCACTGAGGGGTGGTGGTGCGCGTCGCTGGGTAGACCCTGGTACCTGACCCTGCTGGGCGAGCCCCATCAGCGCAGTCATGAATAAGTCCCTCACCTTCCCAGGGCCAGTTTCCTCTTCTATAAAATGATTGCTACGGTCCCTTCACCCAGGAATCCCATTTACCCGTGGGCTGGTCGCCGAAGAGTGCGGGTCTCCGGCAGGGGCGAGGGACTGCTCACAAGTCCTCCAGCACAGGTGTGGAGACGGCCGGTGCGGCGGGAACCACCCCCAGCCCGGGTCCGCGGGCGCCCCCAAGAGGCAGCTCTGCACTAGGATGTTTGCACAAGGGGACTGCGTCCACTTAAGTAACAACAGCCTTGCAAAGTCCAAGAACTTTGAGTTGACAAAGGCTTATGTTTCAAAAGCTGGTAACTCAGAAATATGTTTCCTCGTGTTCACCAAACTTAATATATTTCGAAGGTAAGCATTCCTCCTAAAATCTTATTTTCACTACCCAGAAGGAAAGCATCTACTAAGGTAAACTTCAGCTCTGTATCAGTGGAATTACTAACTCTCAACCAGTAGAATCTGATTTGACAAGTTTGACCATAATAGTAATTATTACCTCGAGTTATGAAATTCCTTTAAATCTTTCTATGTATCTATACAAGCATGCATGCACACACAAATTCTCTTCCGTGTTGCCTTGGCAATGGTTGTCATGAAGTTGATTTTGGAAAAAAAACAAAAAAACAAAAAAACCACCTAAAAGCCCCACTCCATACTTAGCAGCTGCATTCCAAATGCTACAAAAGGCTTGGCACAAGCTAAACAAAATGGCAAAGCACCTTTAATTTTAGCCAGCGATACTTTTGTGCCTTTTACAAGCAGTGTTAATTTCCACAGCTGCTCTCCTCTACTTAATAAGAGCTCTACCAAGCTTCCTAGAACATTTCAGAAACCAAAAACTTGCTAAGAATATGGTGACAACCATCAAAAAGAGGACATTGAGACTGAATATGCTGAATTAGGGGCTCTTGGGGACAGCTGCCAATCAGGGATGGGGACGGATGAGCAGAGCAGCCCTGACAGCTCAGGGTGCAGACAGAGGAGTATTCCGTTCCCGCTCAGTGAGTCATGAATTTGACCCCCTCCAAGATCATGTATGCAACCGAATTTTGAATCATGAGTCCAAAGATTAATGAATCAAACACTGTTTAAAGGCAATGTATACATCCAAACTCCTCCCCACCTCTTCTCTAACATGTTAAATCCCGCTAGCAGTCTAGACAGCACGGAAAAAGAGCTGTGTACTTAGATGAGATGAATTATCAGCGATCATTGCCACCGTGGCTTGCTCAAGAAGGTTCTCCTATCCATAGCTTATACTCCACTTACAAATTTCCCCATCATCTCCAAAAACAATTAAAATGTTCTATCAGTTTAAGGTCTGGAAATGTTGCAGGCTTGATAGAGTATGGCTCTGGCCAGCAAATTACGATGAATGCCCTCTTCTTTGTTATCTGTTAAATAATCTCATCCATCAATCAGCTTTAAAGACATTTATATTCAGCACAGGAAACAGCAAAAATCTTATTTTTCTTTTTTGGTACCTAGCTTACCTTATCTGAACAGTGTAGACATGATTGATGGGTTTGGGTTCCCACTCCAAAATGGTCTTGAAATTAGTTGACTTCCAAGTTAAATTATATGCTACTACTACATCTGTAGTGCCTTTAAACAACAGAGAAACAGCTATTAATGTTTACATGAACTTCTCAGCACACGATTTCATGTTGATGGTATAAAACATCTTCCCACTCCCCAACACCATCATAAACCTCACATTAATATTTTTCCAACCACAAAAGCTTTAACTGAATTATCATAAGAAAAAATCTGCAATTTTTTCCTAAACCCAGAATTTCCTCATGGCAAGGTTGACCGGGTAATCTGAGGAAACACACAAGGATCTTGAAACCCTTGTTTGAAATTATTCATGGGGGAAGCCCTGTGATAATGACCTGGAAGCACAGTCCAGGAGCCATCAGTGGCCCAGGGTGTCCACCGCCCAACTCGGGAAGGGCAGGACGCCAGGTTCAACTTAGCAGGGAAAGCCGGCTAGGAAGGGTTTTCCATAAATTACGTTAAAGGACAAAGCCCACATGTGTAAGAAGAGTTAGGACTGCATCCAATAAAAAACCCAAACCTTGACTTTTTTCATTTGTATCTAAAATGTCTCTATACTGAAACTTCCACAGACAACCATCCAACACCGTCGGATGTATTCGGTTAGGATGCCTTAGTGTTAAGGTCTGCCTGGCCAGTTCTCAGCAGATCAGCCTCTGCCCTGCCCGCACACGGAACAGGCATACAGGGCATGCACAATGTGGTGGTGCCTGCTCCAGTGCAAGCGACATTTTGCAATGACTGCCTCTAACGCAGTCTAAAATACAGACGATCAAGATAAGACCGAGAGCCGCTTTTTATTATGGAAAGTGCATATATAATGAAGGATAACATTCAAACATTGCACGCCGACCCGTGCAGGTGAGGAGCCACGTCCCACCATCTTCAAGGTGTCGGCTCCCTGGGAAGCTCTTTTCCTAAACTTCAAGCGAGAGCCTCGAACGCACTTAGGCAACGCTGGACGCCACGAGCAAGCATCTCTAGCAGAAGGGGCGGCGGGTCCCGGGCGGGTGGCACCTCAGGGCGGCAGGGCGAGCCTGCTGCCAGCCAGGACTGTCCTCCCTCTTCCCGGTGGCGGGCCCCAGGGCTCGGGGGGCGGGGGGAGGGTGCTACTCACCTGTGGCTCCGGCCACCCGGACCAGGACCCAGCCGAATAGGAGCGCCCGAGCGACGGCGGCCTCGTAGCAGGGTACCCGGGGCCCGGTGGGGGTCGCCATGTTCACGAGCTGACGGCGAGGTCGGGAGGATTCCTTGCGCCCCGGAGGCTGGGGAGACGGGGAGGCTGCGGAGGCTGGACTGGAGGCGCCTGGGGCTGCGGGATGGAGCAGGAGGGGCGCGAGGAACCCCGAGTCTGTGGGAGCCCGTGCCCGGCGCGCTTTAAAGAGCCCCTCGCATGCCCGCGCCTCCGCAGGCCCTACGACCGCCCCCGCCCCTCCTCCCGACTCCCCGCCCCCAGCCAGGCTCCAGCAGCCTCCCTGGTCTGCTCCCGGCGAATCCACACCCCGGCCCCGCCTCCTCCCAGTAGGAAACTCCGAAACCCTGCAGGGGCTGATTCACCCGTGATTCAATCGGCCGTCAAGCGCGAGTGTCCTTCGGCCACTGGCGGCTCCAGGTGCTGAGGGGAACCAGGGTCCCAGCCGCCCAGACCCCCTGACTCCCAGCTCTGGCCCTCAGGCCACCGACCCAGATGTCCCGCCTGAATGGGCGGCAGGTCTGTTGGGAAGGAAAAGGTGGCGGTTGGAAGGAGTTCGAGGTGGAGGAGAGGGAACCCTCCCTTCCACTTGGCGATGCAGTGTCCCCGTCAGCGGGAGCGCAGTACTTACCGAGTTTAATAGAAAGTACTGGCTCCGGGCTCCTCTCCGGCCCCCAGGGCATTTCCCGGGCGCTTTGCGCGCGTCAGGCTGAGCCTTGGAATCTGCAGTCAAGTAACAGCGTGATGAGGAGCAGAGCCCTCTCCTAGCTGTGATTTCGGCTTTCGCCCCGAAGGCAATGATACCTGACTCGCCCGGGGAGCATCCTATGAGATGGTGCCAATGCAGGTGTTTCTACGGGTCCGAAGTTCAGTCAGCTCAGGCACAACCCAGCCCACCTCGGGTTAGTGACCGAGGAAGAACTGCCCCAAATCTAGCACTTTGCCTCTGGGAGAATTCCAAGGTGACATCTGCCGCCGTTGAAGAAGACGTTTGCGGGACTGAGTTCTGCTCAAGTATAAAGAAGCCAAAAATGAAATTTAAAAATATAGTCAGACTTAAACTTTGGTTTTTCTGAATTTTCTGGCTTCCTCTTCTGGGCTTTGCTGTAAAGTTGTCAGGCAGGAGAATGTTAACTCTCATTCTACTGAGCGGCTCTGTAGGCGTTCTTGTCAAAGTATTGCCGTCATTTTTTACTGTACTCTGTAGTTGCCTCCTCGACAGACTGGAGAGTTTTTAGGAGAGTGGAGTCTGTTTTCTCTCTCTTTCTCTCCCAGTTTTCTTCTAGGGAAATTAGCCTTGCATTTTAGTGCACACTCTATACACATTTCCATATAGCCTGCTGAGCCATAGCATTACACTTATTTTAAAAGAAATGAAACTTGGCAAAATTAAATTTTCCCCCTTTCCTTGAACTGAAATAGCACATCCAGGTTTAGCTCTTGTAGTCCTTCCTTCCTGGAGGCTGAAAGCTGCACTTGCTGGTTTCCTCTTTGAGTTCTCCTCCAACTCTAAAACAAAATTTATATTTGCAAAACTAAGCCATGCAATCCTCCTTTTTGCAGTCTCTGGCCTGAGTCATTTTTCCTAACAGATCTTTAGCCCCACATGGGTTGTGATTCTTTGTGCTCTGGAGTTGAAGGTAGCTGGGAGAAAATGTTACACTTCAATCAAGTGCCTTACAAGACCCAAGGAAGTGTTGCTCTGTCTGCAGAGTAATTGATTGTATTTGGAGCCACTGACTGTCCTGAAATCATAAAGGGCTTTAAACAATCAGCATTGTTTAAATTGTCAAGATCAGCAGTTTGATAAGAAAAATATGTTTAACATTATATTGTGATACCAAAGGTGCCATAAATGTTGACAAAGTAGAAGAATATTTATTTTGCATATTCACTAAAGTTATCAGGCAGGAAAGAGAAGAATTTGTCGGGTGTTAACATAGGTTTTTGAGTGAATATAGAATGACATTCTTTAAGATTTGAAAAATGCACAATAGCCAGGACATGGAAGCAACCTGAGTGTCCATCGACAGATGAATGGATAAAGAAGATGTGACACATATATACAATGGAATATTACTCAGCCATAAGAAGAAACGAAATTGAGTTATTTGCAGTGAGGTGGGTGGACCTAGAGACTGTCATACAGAGTGAAGTAAGTCAGAAAGAGAAAAACAAATACTGTATGCTAACACATATATATGGAATCTAAAAAAAAATTAAAAATGGTTCTGAAGAACCTAGGGGCAGGACAGGAATAAAGACGCAGACTAGAGAATGGACTTGAGGACACGGGGAGGGGGAAGGGTAAGCTGGGACGAAGTGAGAGAGTGGCATGGACATATATACACTACCAAATGTAAAATAGATAGCTAGTGGGAAGCGGCCGCATAGCACAGGGAGATCAGCTTGGTGCTTTGTGTCCACCTAGAGGGGTGGGATAGGGAGGGTGGGAGGGAGACGCAAGAGGGAGGAGAAATGGGGATAAATGTATATGTATAGCTGATTCACTTTCTTATACAGCGGAAACGAACACACCATCGTAAAGCAATTATATTCCAATAAAGATGTTAAAAATAAATAAATAAAAAATAAATTTAAAAAAAGAGTTAAATGTAGACAAATCTAAAACACATGTACAATATAGGAGTTAGTAATACCTTTTTAATTAAAACTGCAAACCCCAAAGCTATGCAAGAATGTGAAGGCATATTTGAATATGCGAAAATTAAAGTTTTTGTGTATACAAAAAACTCCACAAATAAAGTCAATTATCAAAGGTAAAAAAAAATAAAAGATTTGAAAAATGCTAAAAAAGAATTACCACTTTCAAGAAGAGGAAGAAAACTGGCTATGGTAAGTAACATTTCATAGTAAAGTTTTTTTCCTTGTTGATCAGACTGTGGCCAAATGCTTTCTAGTGCTGCTCTGCACGGTTAAAATTTCACTATTGATAATTTTTTGCACAGAAACAGATTGATTATTAAAACAGTTTTTTTTAACCCCCTTCAATAAAGTGGAGCTCAGCAGTTACCAGATTTTCCTCCTATATGATACACCTTGGAGATTCAGATGTTTGAAATGGTCCTAAACTATAATGATAATCAGGCTGGCCTGACCAATCCCCTTATGATTAGATCTTAGAATGTCACATGACTGGGGGGACCTGACAGACATGCCTTCACAGATGACGATCCTGTGTTCAGCTGGCCTGAGTGAACACCGCTTGCCTAATCTCACAATACACATCTGGTTTTCTGACCCCAGGAGATTTCTTTGCACGACCATGCTTTCTTCTCCCAATGCATGGAAGTAAGATTAGGTCGTAAACCCAAGCTCACTTTAATTAGTTTATTCAACCGTAGGTGCTCAACAACGCTCTGCAATTGGTGTAGAAAATATTTGCAGTTTGGAGACCTCACTGTTCTCCTGCAGAAATATTCTGATGGTTTCTCCTTCAAACATGCATGCATGGAGTCATGTAAGCAGGGTTGCATTGCCTTTGCATAACCAGTGATGAAATGTGGTTGGTGAAGAGTCTGAAGGTGACTGGGGCAATGTTGCAGTGCTTCCTCTGTACTTTTATAGCACTCCCCACCTGTTTCACAGACTTGACCTCATTGAATACTTTACTTGATTTCAACTGTGTGTTTGTCGTCTGTCTTTCCCACTAGAGCTCCTTCGGGGAATAAGACCTGGGTTTTTTTCTTCACATTTCTCACACAATTACAAGCACCTGGTAGGCTTTAATACATTTTGAATCAATAAACACTTTGAAACCATGCATGCAGCCAGATATTTTCACTGGCATTCGAGAGATGAAATTTGTCATCGAAATTCTTCTGCTAGTGGCCAGCAGCGAATGTTCCCTAAAAGCTCAACTTGGTAAGAAAATACAAATCCACCATGTGTTACAAGGTCTCACTTGACAGTGAGCCCCAGCTGTCTAATGATTAATGATCCTTGCTACAGCCAGAAAATCTAATCAGGAGACGTGGCTGAAGAGCAGAAAACAAATGTCAAAGTTTGGGAAATGGTTAGCATTTTCCTAAAAGACTCGATATTAGAGTGATTCAGCAGATTTTCAGTCATCTGATGAGCTGTTGCTAGCTTTCCTTGCTTAGAAAGGCTTAATAACTTTTCAGAATAAATTGCACAAAATGTATCTCTCCCAAGGAAAGGGATAGGTTAAGCTTTATGATAGAAGGTGAAATTGAGAGTAATTTATATGAAACTATTATATTCATATGAAATAGTAAAAAGAGCAATAAAACCATTTACCCAAAATTCAGGTAAAAGGCAAAGTATGAAAAAAGACCAGAGGGAATAAGTGTGGGAACACAGAGTCCGGCGGAAAAAAAAATGTGACTTAGCAGAACCTAAAAAACATCTGGCAGGGTATAGTTAGTCATGGAAAAGTTGACAGTCATGATTATGCATTTTGTGAAAATAATTATACACTAGTCTAACAGTTAACCTTTAGACCAAAATTAAATAGTTGAGAGTCCATAAAATGAAATCTATTGTCCTGGTCATTCAAAATACTTCTACTAGCTGTCTAGAAGAGTTTACAAGAAACTTTGCCAAATGTTATCCCATAGCACCAGTATTCTGAAAAGTATAATTTTAGAGAAAAAGCTTCCAGTTCAAATCTTAGACTGGATTATTATTTTCAGCACACAACTATCTTTATAAGCTTAAGACTTACCAGACTTCCTGCCAAATTTCATTTTGATGAACAGTAAATATTCATCATACATTATCTACATACAATGTTGACAAAATAAATAAATCATAAATGTAAATTGTGGACATTGTTTTAGTAAGAAAAAGTCATTTAAAATTAAAGCCTTTAACATATGTTCTTAGTAATTTAACACATATGATTTAAAAGTTTTTATATGGTATCATGTTATGAAAACATCCCTTAATTCCCCATTTCCATATCTCCTTATACCTGACTGTTGGGCTGAACCCCACAGGCCTGCAAGCCTTGCAGTTGCCCAGCCTGGAGACAGCGACAGAGACATTAATGGTTTAATAGATGGGGGAATCTCACCCAAAGTGTCCTGGAGCAACACCTCACCATGTGCAGCAGACAGTGAGCAGGAAATGGCAGCAGTCTTTACTACTTAGGGAAGAAGGAGGCTACCATTTATAGATGGAATTGACATCAGGTTGTCTCATCACTTACCAGGGACAAATTAAGCCCTATAAGTAAGGACTGGATA